CGTGGCCAAACTCTACCCCCAGACGTTCCAGACTTTTTGTGGTTGTGGCTAGGCTCGGGCGCAATGTTTATAAACTGCAACGTCCAATTACGGGCTGAGCATGCGGTCTGGCCAAAGTGGACCAACTTGTGCAATACCAGGACCCTTGGAACTCTACATGTACGCATTAAGGGCGGGGGGGGGGGGGGCCTGTTAGGGGAAGCGCACAGATGATGCATGCACGTAGCATGGGCCGCATTTGTTGGATTGCATCGGTGACCGCTGTAGCCGTTTCGCGCTGGGCCCAAGAGATGGCGCAGCGGCCACGGAAGGAGGAAGCAGGGGAAAAAGGAAGGTCGGTGAGAAACGGCGAGGTTTACCTATACCAGCGATACCGCTCTGCATGAGTAAGCGAGAGAATAAAGTGTTTAAGCGAGATTGCCAGGTGCTGCCGTGGCTGTCGGGGGGCACTTGAACCAGATGACTATGGCTACGCTGGCTGGGTTTTGAACCACAAGCGCCTCGAGAACACCGACTGCAGTGCTGGACGAATGGAAGCGGAGGCAGCCCCCGATCCTGTTCAAGGGGTCTCTGGGAAGAATTGACTGCGTTACACGACCATTCTCTCCAACGGAGACGGCCGCACCTTCCATGCTTTGCCACAGGAGGGCATTTATGGCTGCCTCGAGATCGAGCAGGACCGTCTGTACCATGTGCACAAGCAAATGGTAGAGATGAAGGCACAAGGGGAGTCTCGGAGGAAACGCGAAGCTGACCCAGGACAAGACTAAAAGGACTGCAAGCTACTATGCGTATGCATTGAGGACCCACAGGCACGACGTCCCAGGGATGAAAAAGGCGGTGCAGGCAACTTTGGTGCACATGACATTGATGGAAGAAGCCCCAGACCACAGCCACTGTTCTGAAGGAGACAATTCTCGATGCTCCTACCACCGCACACTGGCTAACCACGAGGAGTCAACAACACAGGAGAACCTTCTACCAGGCTTCATTAGCACAGCACAAGCTGGTCTTTCAGAGGCTGGGCGACCAGGCCCTCCTGGAGCGCTTCAGTGATGGCATGACAAAGAACGCCATTGAGAGCCTACACTGCTGTCGCTGAAGCAGTGTCTCGCTTCAACCAGGGCATGGCAAAGACCAGCAGGGCAGTAGCAGGGCACCTTGGCTACAGCACTAGAAGCTGTCTAACATGCAGGAACCTCGAGAAGGACAAGCAGAGGCTCCGCAAGGCCGACAATAAGGCTCGCACGGAATGAGAACATGAAGAAGATAGCCAAGAGGTACACGTCCAACAGGACCCAGGACTACTGTCCAGGACACAAGTGAACCTACACTTGCAGCCAAAAAACGCTTAACGTAATTCTCTCTACTATTTCAGTCGACCTTCAAAGTCCTTGAGCGAAAACACGTCGGTGACACCAAACATACCAAAACGAAAGGTACCAATGAAACGGCGCCAAAAGTGCATCATCAGAGGGTGCACTGTCTTCGGAAGTTTGTTATCACATTTCCATCGGCGCTTGGGCTTTCGCCTTCAAGTCGTGTTAAGGCCCGTTCACACTCTTGCGACCGAGTACGACTGAGAGAGACGCGATCTCTTACAACTTCTTAAATGTTTCTAGAATGAGGGGACACACTGACATTGTGGCGCCATCTATGCGGTGACCCTAGAACTGCATTTCACAAAAGCGAAGGTTTTACGGGATTTCCGAGGTCAAATGTGCGTAATACCCATAGAAAGGCTCGTTTATAACATTGACAAAAGTTTTTCGAGCCAAAAAAGAAAGGATATTGCGCGAGAAATAAAAAAAAAATATGCCGGACCGCCGAGTTTACACTGCTTCCCAATAGATGGCGCCAGTGTGTTCTCTGGTTTAAGAAGTTTTAAGGAACCCAGGTTTAAGAGGTCGCAAGCAGTCGCAAGAGTGTGAACGGGCCTTGAGAGATAACATAGAGACCTTGTGTTTTTTCAATTGCCATTTTGAATACATTGGCATAAACAATTTTTAGGAAACGTAATTTTGTGTTAAATAATAACCGGACTGCATCCTAAAGCTTTCCTTTTTTTCTATAAATTCAGTAGTAAAGGTTCCAACATAAAAGTAACTTCAAATGCATTTCTCTCAACTTTGTCTTATAAGGTGCACACCTGCCAACCCAGCAACATAAAAATTCGGGAGACCGCCGAGCAAGGGGGGGTGGGGGTTGAAACATTTTCATTTTTTTTTTAGTTTGACAAGAAACCTCAAGAAGAAACACTCTGTGCGAATCACAATGTCTTCGCAGTTGTTTTGGAGTAAACTGCCAGTGGTGCCCTGCCCTTCTACGGCACGAGCATGGTTCTGATGCTTTCGTGAAGCGATGTGTATCTTGATGTCTATGTGAAACGCTTACACATCACAGGTGCACATGTTACAGAATCCATACTTGTCAGCTCTCCACGAAGCGACAAAGCACGAAAACACAGTCGCGTATGATTTCAGAAATACTTGCAAGTACTTAATCTTGGCTTTTGAAAGTGCCATTGATCGTTCAAACAGATCAGTGGTTCCAACTAAACTCGGGGAAACGCGAAAAGTAGTTCGGCGTTCTGCACCTCACTCAACGACCTGACAAAGCCATCTGAAGCCTAGCGCACCCATGATCATATAAGCCGTGTTCCAAAATCCGCTCCAACTTCAGGAGTAGAGGTTTCGTACCTTGGCGTTTGAAAATCTACCATCGTTTTACGCTACTGCTCCGAGCTGTCACGCGATAACCCGCCAGAGTAACCTAAACCTACTCTCGAGTAACTCGCAATGACACACGCGTGATAATTATAACAAAAAGGCGTCATAAAAAAAAAAAAAAAAAAAACTATGGGGGATACTTTTAGGGAGATTTGAGGTCGCGTCCATTCAATTGGGAGATGTGACCGAAATTCAGGAGGCTCTCGGACAATTCGGGAGAGTTGCCAGGTATGAAGGTGTCATTGCCTTATGGACGTTTGTATGTTTGCAATAATGAATACCAGTCAACTTGCTATTGTTCTTCTCAGCAACAACTTTTTCATAGAGCCAATAGATTAAAATTAGCTAAAATGCTGATTAATTACAGCCAGATTTTGTCTGCTTTCAGGTCTCATTTATTTACGGTCAAAAACTGGCATCATAAAGATTCTATTAGGTTTAGGGCTTATGGTGGTGGACTCTTGCAACTAACTGCACATTGTAAAAAAAAAATTGTTTTAGCGAGAAATTATTATAACGACCCGTAAGAAATTATTTAACTGGAGTGTGATATTATGCCTTAACTTCTGTTCTAGAGGAGATATGTGAAATATAATTACAGATATGAAATCACCATTAAAAATCAAATATGCATACTAACGGCTAAAAAATGTGCTGGTAAATAAAAATAAAAAAGATATAATTGAAGACCCGTGTTGCCCCTTAAAGGAATACTTCAACGAAATTTGAAATATATTCATTGTGTTCAAAAATAGGCTGAATATGATCCACAATATCCGTAAATGACAATCGCATGTTTGTATTTTGAGCCTGGTGGCTGTATTTTTTGTTATAAATGGCCCATTCTAGCTAGCGCCCGGAGAAGGCCCAGCTTAGAGCATGTGACATCCGACGCAATCGTAACGTAGGTCGTCTCGGGACGAGCAAAGCTACAGCGAGGCTGACATCGAGGGGATGGCCTAGTCGTTCCAGCCACCGAAGCGGCTGCTTTTGTATGAATTTTGAGTGACTGGTTAATCTTTTATAATCTTGTAGGGGGACAATACCTACTTCTGGAACACTCAAAAGGGATTCTCGGGAAGACGGGAGTTCCTCCACCTCTTCTCTCGTCGTGGCCGAAGGCGAGACACTCACCGTCACTAGCTGTCAAGGTTCCTAGACGGGCATTACAAACGAGGCGTTAGCGACATCGACCAGGTGCTCTTTGCCAATCGTTTAATTCATTTTAAAATTCTTTTTCGTGACTTTTTTAACAAGATATTAAGCGGCGAAATTTCGTTGTAGTATCCCTTTAAAGCAAATGTCGAATAGTGTACTATTTGAATATTTGCACCACACTTATATTCTCTTTTAAGTGTATAATTGGGGAATAATGCAGTCTGACATTCTTTGTCAGTCGGCATCATCACAAGAACTTAGCAGTCCATTGTCATTCCACGAATAAGTCGTGTAAATAACCGACATTAAGAACTCTAAGCAAAAGCCACGATCCCTAAAAGTTGGGCCTATGAAACAACTTGCATTCCCCCCGAAAATTATTTTTTAAAGGGGTCCACCAACAATTGTTTGACCGGTATGAAGTTCGCGCTGAAACGGAGCTCCATGAAAGCAGGAACACCGAGGAAAAAAAAATATTACACAAATTCGCAATATTTTGTGAGTTCTTAGCAAATTAAATATTGCAGAAAACAACATTAAATAAGCAAAACATAGCGCTTCATGACGTAAAATGAAAGTTTAGCGATTGGAGCAAAGCGTTTGGCCAATTGGACGCAAGTTTGGTTGATAGCCCGTCGGCCATTAGGCCTAGCTGCAACCATCGTAGCTTTGGGATCGGGTCGCCATCATCGACTAATTTACCGGGCTTATCGGATTTTTAGTGCGGATCTGGGCGTCGTGCCGTATGAGGACACTCCACGCAAGCGCCGCGTCTCTGCCTCAGTCCACTTCGACAGCCGCGGAACACTCGTCTCCCGCAGCTCCGCTGGCTCCGCCACCGGAGCCACCCCGGCGAGTAGGAGGGAGAAACTGGTGAGCGGTCCCGTTGGGCACTGGTCCCGTCGCCGCACTTCACTCGAACAGTGAAAAGTCTGTCACAGCACTAAAAGAAAATAAGGGTTCCCCTGGCTCCTCTTACTGCTTTTAGTTGACCGGGACCGGGGGCGCACAAGTGAAAAACGATGCGCGTTGTGTGCACGGATCACTTGTCGTCTGCTCGCGATGGTACGTCGCGGACGCCGCTGGGAGGCGCGCATGAGCGACAAGGCGTTGTTTTCGCCCTTTTTGAACTTTACTTTGCAACTTTATTAGCTCTGTAAAAATGACTTGTTAGAGAAATAATGACGGTTAACGTGTGATATACTTTATTTCACTTCAAAATTCCTGGGATGGCTCTCACCAATCACGAAACCAAAAGAATGTGACGTATAGTGAAAGGGAGCGCCGTTATGCGCGCGCATTCGGCACCTCGCGGCGCCACCGTCGGAGGAGGTGTTTCCGAGTTGTCAAATTAAAATATGATGCGCTGATATTTTCAAACTCTTTCGTTGTCCACTGGGTTTCCGGGACCACTAGCGTGTAGAAACCGCAAAAAAAGGTCGACGCTCAAATACTGTTGGAGGGCCCCTTTAAGTTATAATAATAATCATTTCATAAAATTGGTAGATATCGCAGCAATAGGAATAGTCTTAATGAGGCTGCCCATTCCTTACGTTAATTAAAGCGCGTGACTAAGAGGCAACCTACCAGAAGGATACGCCTCCGACTGACTTTCGACATTCTGGTTCCGGTACTTTAAAGTTTTCTATTTTTACAAAAATCTTGCATGTGGCAAGCTATAAGTTTTCAGAAAATGTTGCTGCTAATTATGCTAGCTTACAAGTGGCCCTCTGGGGAACTCCCCAGTCAGAGCAAGGCACTAGGGGCTGAACAGGAAAGCGACCAGTAGTTGCCCAGAGCTCAGTTGTCCGATGCAAGCTACCGGCAACGCTTGCCCGAGACGTCGGCCAGTGCGTACGGCAACATATTCACCTCGCCAAAGCACTGCTGCTTTTGCAAGGACTGGCGTTCAATTGGCAAGAGTCCTAGCCCACTAGCGTGGCACTCCAGTCCAACTTGTGTTCCTCGCTGGCCTTCTTTAGGCAATGCTGAATGTTACTTTGTTGACTAGTATTCCCCCAAACACCCGGTTCTTTCGTTGTCCCCTTCACCACCCTAGCATCTGCCCAGTACGTTGGCTCTTTAATGCCGCACATATTCCTCCATTACGCTTGGCAACAAACCAGCATATAATTGAAATTGGTCAAACACTGCACGCCGTGGCAAGAGATTGGCACAAGTTGTCCATCAGCCGAACCAGTGCGCCCCCATGCAGTTGCGTGACCACTCCGTCTGGCAGAGCCAGCACCACTGGAAGCCACACTGGGACCGGCTGCAGATCATGTGCATGCAGCCACCTGCATAGGGAAACGGGGATCCTTCAAGCAACCTCTCCCACTTCTCTTTTATTCTTGCAACACTCTCCAATTCGTCGGGCATGTTCGGCCCATAATTGTGCATCAGCGTGTGGCTTTCTCGCGCCAAAATAGGGCTAAAACAGTGAAGACAATTTGTGTGCTTGAAGTGCATCTGCGAGACTCCTTAGAAATTTTAGCAAGAGGGGCTTGGCTCGCTCACGTGCGGCTACTTAGAATTTCAATCCCAGGTCAGCCTTTAGGAAAATTAGCTCACCCAAATGCAAGCCGATCGGTCCCACCTCTCTCTTTGACAATTAGATATCAGTCGCAAAAAGAGGATATGGCCGTACCGTCCCTTTCGGTGGGCGTGCGGCACATGGGGCAGGGCTTGGTGGTGGAGCGGACCGTCAGCCGGCTGGCCTCGTCCCACCGGCTGTCTCTCGCCTGTGCCTCGTCCACCGGGTACGCCGACACGCTTCCCTGCGACACACATGTGCAATGCAGTCGAGCATGCAGCAAGGCCCTGGGCAAATGTGCGGTAAAACCTTGGACTGTACAGCACGCTTCGCTGCAGCACGCGCATGCAAAGCGGTGAAACCTCGGACTCCTAACTCGCTTCCCTGCAATACACACGTGCAATGCACCGAAGAGTGCGGTGCAACCATGGACTGCACGACACACTTCCACGCAGCACATGAGTAAAATGCGGAGATGCAGGTGGCACAACTTCCAGGCTGCACAATGTGCTTCCCTACACTAAGAGGTGGGAGGAGCCTCCCCTGTACTAGCAAAGGCTTTGAGAAGCGTTTGCTAGTACAGGGGAGTCGTGCGCTTTCAGAAGTGCACGACTCTTGCTTCTCGCTTCCATGGAAACTGTAGTGGATACAGTAGAAGCGTTACTCCAAAGCCACTCACCAATGCAGCAGACGCCTCGTCATGTTCGTCTCGTATGCATGGTCCCAAGTGGTGACCTTGGAGGCAGAGTCTGCAAAAGACAAACTGGACAAAGGCCCAAAGGAGCAATGAATACACCACTCGAAAGTGCACATTCCGTCCCAATAACGAGGCTGCGTGCCTACACCTCCATGGCTACTCTGTCGCTTTACAAGAAAAAGTTGCCCCTTTGCCGTACTAGTGTGGCAGAGGCAGATGTGACACAGAATGTGACGTGTTAGGGTGGGGCTAAGGGCCGGCAGAAGTAGGCGGCCAAGGATTAGCGCATGTACGGCCGTACTTGGACGAATTCCAGAGCCGCCATGAGATTGCAGCTTTCCTTATAAGGCGTAACCCGCTCGGTCGGGGATCCGAGAGCACACTTCCGAGGCTCCGTGCACACGGCTGGCCTCGCAGCCCCGTGTCATGCACGGTAAGCGCGCGAGCGCTCAGTTTCTGTTTTACTTGTGTGTGCCATCTTCTGCGGAGGCAATGAGACCTTCTTGGAGCCTGCTGCAGTGCGAGATGCAGTAGACAGAGTGCATCCGAAATAGGAATCTAGCAGCAAGGTAGAGAGCCTAGATTTCAGAAAGTTTCGAACAGTTCGTTCACGGCCACATGATTTACAGTAATGCCTCATTATAATGAAGTCAATGGGACGGCAAAAAAAATTTGATATAAGCGGTAATTCAATAAAAGCAATTGAGCCAAAAAAACAGTTGCCTCAGCCTTGAAGGTGGACGGGAACAATGCGCAACACTCTGACCGTACATATATTTAACCTTGGTTATGAACATCTCGCAGCAGTTTACCGAGTAAAAAATAATTAAGTGGAGTTTGCCGATAACTTCATCCGGGCATCCTTTCTCCTCGAACTGCTCCAGGCACCACAAGAACACTGTCACCGCCGCTGCACTCCACTTTGTTTCGAAGCAGCCGTAGGATGTTTCGTGTCTCCGAAGTCGTCAGTTTTCCAAGGTGCCTCTCCGACGTCGCTTCGTGTTAACCCTGGCCGCACGCAAAGTCTACAATCGCAGCATCCGTGGCAGGAACAACAACGGGAATGTCCGTATCGACTGGCATGAACGAATCAAAGCTATCCTCGGTGGCTTTGTCAACACGTTTTCACACACTCCAGTAGAGATTGTTGCAGCTATGGAGATAGTGCGCCGGCTCGGCAAGCATACTCGTGAGAGAAAATCCGATGTGCGCGAAGCAGTTGGCGATCTTCCGTCTTCGGGCCGCAGGTGCACTTTCTCTTCCATGAAAAACTCCTCGAACCCGTCCAATATGCCTCGCTTGTTCCGTAAAATGGTGGACATAGTCAAACAGCTGATGCCGGGTCGAATTCTTTGGCGATTTCGGACTTGGGCCAGCCACTTTTCTCAACCTCGCAGGTCTAAGCGACTTTCGGTATACACTCCCAATCTTCCATTCGACGCTCGTGTGTGTAGTATGCCCCAGGCGTGTGTCCGGGCCTCCCCAAGGGATGATCTCGTCCGGGCTCCATCGCTCCCTTGACACGATTTCGACAGGAGTCGGGAAGCGTCGGCCACGGGCACTGCGAGTAGCGTCGGAACGTTGATGCTGCTCCCTGTCCGCAACCCCATGTCGGCGCATTGGCATCAGAAGCGGCTCTGCCAGCTCTGCCCTCTGTTACCCATTTACTCCGTGCCGCAGTGGAGGAGAGGGCACGCAAGGGTGTCCCGTGTGGCCCCGTGTAGGCTTGCGTGGTTTCGGCATCTCGGTCTTCGTATTAAGTGTGGTCGGCCGCCAATACATTTAGAACAATCCCCTTAAAGATGCGTGCATTTTAGCCGGGACAACTTGGATAAAAGCAATAATTCGAAAAAAGCGATTTCAGTCTAACAAGGGAATACTGTACTTTTGCAATACGAGATGGAGATGCAAGGAGGAGACAAAAGCATTCCTCTCCTGCTTTCCTGCTCGCCCCACAAATACGCGGCGCATGCACAATTGCGACCAATCTTCGCGAGAGGTGTTTGCCATTAAATAGCAAACGCTCCCTACTAGGCTCTCTACAGCACCGAGTAGAGCTCGCGGCCAAAGAGAACCAAACACTCGCAATATCTCAAATTGTTACGGCAAAGGGAGCAAGTCTAATACACTGTAGACTTTTCTTTCTCTGCTTTTCTGTCGGTGTTTCTTGCGTTCTTTTTAGCCTGGAGTGCGCTCGTTTCACGAAGCACCGGTGACTGTCTGAACGCGTGATGTATTTCCCTTGCCAGGAGTTACACGGAGGCACTCGAGCAAGAGGTTTAGCTGGCACTGGTGTCTAATCGGTGAGAGAAAAGCGCTACATCAGTGTTCAGCTGGCAGTCGGCCTGTCCACTTCCGTTGCTGGCACTTAATTGGATATGGTTCTGCACTAAAAATGGTTCTGGCGTCTTCCGTCAAAACAGTAAATATTTTGATGGGGATGTCAAAATTATTTTATAAATATTTTCGCATCTTTGGAAAGTGGCGTCACGGACGTAAAATAGTAAAATTCATTTGACGGTGGGCGTTGAAAGAGTCGCTGCCAAAATTACTTCTACAGATGCCCAGCATAGCTAATTGAGAGGATTTGTAAATATTCTTGCTATACGCATATATCTTTTCTTCAGTCAAAAATGATTAATGCAGCTTGTTAGGGTATTTCTGCCCGACATACTCGTGCATAATAGCCAGCATAATATGGAAAAATTTGATTTTGAAAATGTTAATACCAGCATTCACAAAGTTTCTTTTTAAGGGGACACACCCCCTAGGGGGGTCACCTTTTGAACCCTTGTCTTAAAATTAATGAAATTTACAGGGTAGGTTGGTGGTCATGCTAGAGGGTGTATAACAAAATTTCAGGTCTGTCGGTTAAATGAGAAGGAAATTAGAGTTGCTTCCATCAGGAACACGCCTACATTGTTTAGTTAATCTATCGTCCGAAAACTATCACGATATTCAAGATTTTTATTCACTAGATATGTAGCAGAATGCCTAGAGGGTGCGGCTATGGAACGTTTTTTCTAAGAAGTAATTTATTTCTATAAATTTTCTCTACTGCAAAATTGGTCAACTTTTTGGTCTTTTGTGTCCTCGACAAAATGTCAACATTTTTTTATAAAAGACATTCGTTAAGTGACAAAAAAGTTCCATAGCCGCATTCCTTATTAAATTTCAGTCAGGAAAAGGGAAGAATGAGCCTTCCCTGTTTTGCCATTATCAAACGATAGATTGACTAAAATGGAATTTATACCAAAAAGTGGAATGGAGAAAAATGCGTTCAAAGTGCTCCAAAGCCTACCTTTTCTTTAGCTTTGGTGGACATAAAATAATTTATAAAAAATTAACTATGCAGTGAAAATTAATTAAACTTTTTAAGAATACTCTCTAGATGTTGGTGGATGTAAATATGTCGTTTTTCAAAATCAACTTTTTTTGCAGAAATTTTTTTTTCTGGGCAGTGTCTCCCCTTAAAGGGAAGCTACGGAGCTTCTTGGAAAAAATGAGTTAGAAGTGAATTCTAGTGTATTTTTACCCCGTGAACCCGAATACCCAAACCATTTGCTGCGTAAGTATTGTTAAACGCGAGAAAAACGCGAAAGACAGTCGCTGTCCGTGACGTCATCGACGGCTCTTTTGGCTGCCCAAGGCTAGGGGGGCGGGGCTTCAGCCCTATTTTGAAATTGCTCTTGTGGCTCTCCGGCGCGTCGCATTGAAATATAATTTTGATATCTGTTATTCTAACGGCCAAATGAACGCAATTCAAGCGTTTTTTCTCAAATGTAGAAGTGCCCCATCTTCCCTTTAAATACACGAGGCACACGCTTGCACCATCCCGCTTTGAAAGTCTGCTTTCCTCCTAAGCACGGGACTGCAATATTCGTGCTCTTCGAGGTGTTGATCGCGGCAGGTTAGCCCCATTGAGCACACTTTTTACCGAGCACCGCTGTGCTGCAGAGAAGCAGCACTCGTGGAAGTGAGCTCTGCAAGTGGTGCTTCTTCGCATTGCACCGGTGCTCGGTAAAAAGTGCGATAACACCTCGAAAAATACAAAAATCGCAGTTCACCTCGAAGCAAGTATTGAATAGCGTATTATTCGAAACTATTTTCGAAATTTTAATATTCGCGCAAGTCGTCAAACACTGAGGTCATTAGTAATTTCTAGATGCGCCACGAAGCGTGAAGTTGAACCGCATAGATTAGCCACTCGGCAACAAGGAGAAAGCATACCGAAACGGAAGCTGCCTAAACAGAAAGATTTCTTGGCACCATTACTCCTACTCCACGTAAGAAAAAAAATGGTTGCGAGGAGTAGGGAGTCCAGCTCACCCCGCAGCCCTGGGTGGCAGCCTCGCAGGTGACCCGGGTGCAGCCCTGGTCCACCAAGATGCCCTGCCCGCAGCCGGGCTGGGGGCACAGCACGCCTCCCGCCTGCAGCACAAACTCCTCGGCCGCAAACCGCTGGTAGCGTTGGTACTGCCAATCCGGAAGAATGTCCGTAAGTGGCAGTTTGCGACCGGTTCCTTTTCTGCGCCCTAAACTGTGGTTTCTCCATTTCTGCCCGACGCCGTGGCAGAATTGTTCTTGCTTGCCACATTCCCTTGGGGAGCACAAAGAGGCGGAAATTGTACTGGAGCAGGGGTGGCCAAACTGCAGCTTGCCCCGGTAAGCCCCCCTTCCCCTCCACTGCCCCAAGATAAAGAGAGTTCAAGGATTTAGAAAAGCTCCCAGTCTCGGCAGCCTTGTGCTACACTATGTACTTGGTTTTATTTTAAAATTTTGTGTTTTCCTTCAATTCTTTGGAGTTCAAGGTCGTAGCGTCATGGGCTCGTTGAGTGTTCGTTGCTCATTGAAAGGACTGTGTGTGTCTGTCCTACTGTAGTTTTTCAACCTGCTCTGCTACGTGCACAGTCGCCGACCGATTATTCGGACTACGCAGAGATTGAAAAAACGTATGAATAATAGAGCAGTAAAAAAAATCAGCAGAATCAAAAACTTGTTTTTATTACTTCCAAGTGGGCTTAAAAAAGCCGTAAATAGTGCCTTGCTTCAGGTTACGCCTCCGTTTGCGTTGGGCAACTTTCTGTTAGCTTGAGAATCGCTGCCTTCTTTTCTAGTGTTATGGTTGAGTACTTTCTGCACTTCCTAACGACACATCGCGGCAGCGGAACAACAGATAGGGCCATGACGTCCAAGCCAGCGTTGTCCGAACAAGATGAGAAGCGCAAATCCACGAGTGCAAAATGGCGACTGGCAATGCGAAGGAACGGAAAAACAAAGCAAAATGATAATAATGATGATGATGGTGATGTGCACCTAAATGAAAAAAAAAAAATGAAAGTCGTTTACAACTCCCTGTAACGCCGGTTAGAGCGCAGCTCTTGAGGAGGAGGATGGAAGCGTACTGAGGGATAGGTGACTCCTTGAGGTCACATGACCTCGGGGGGGGGGGGGGGTTCGTATGACGTCAGGGGGGTCACGTGACCTCAGGGTGTCACGTGACCTCGGGGGGGGGGGGGGGGGGGGGGTCACATGATCTCGGGGAGTCACGTGACCTCGGGGGGGGGGTCACGTGATTTTGGGGGGGGTCACGTGGCCTCAGGGGGATCACGTGACTTCAGGGGGATCACGTGACCTCAGGGGGGGTCACGTGACCTCAGGGGGGTTACGTGACCTCAGGGGGGTTACGTGACCTCAGGGGGTCACGTGACCTCAGGGGGTCAGGTGACTTCAGGGGGTCATGTGACCTGGGGGTCTTGTGACCTCGGGGGGGGGGGTCATGTGACCTCACGGTTACGCCGACGGCGACGCTGCTCAAGCCAGAAACGGGCCCCTAAGAGCTGCGCTCTAAAAAGGGCTAGCATAGCGTCACCTAGCGGTAGCACCTAGCATCGTCATCATCACAGATGACGTCATCAGTGACGTCACTGATGACGTCACCAACATCCGCATCGTCATCGTCATCATCGCTGATGACGTCATCGGAGTCCGCATCGTCATCGTCACTGATGACGTCATCAGTGACGTCACTGATGACATCATCGGCATCGTCACGTGACCCCCCAAGGTCACATGACCCCCCAGGTCACTTCACCCCCCCAGTACCCTTCCCTCCTCTTCCTCAAGAGCTGCGCTCTAATTCGGTGTTACAGGGAGTTGTAAACGGCTTTCACTTTTTAGAGCGCAGCTCTTAGGGGCCCATTCCCGGCTTGAGCGGCGTCGCCGTCGCCGTCGCCGTTGCCGTCGCCGTCGCCGTCGCCGTCGCCGTCGGCGTAACCGCGCGGTGCATTATGGGTAAATTTCCCCGCTAAATCTAGCGGAAAAAATTTCCCCGCTAAATCTAGCGGAAAAATTTCCCCGCTAAATCTAGCGGAAAAAATTTCCCCGCTAAATCTAGCGGAAAAAATTTCCCCGCTAAATCTGGCGGAAAAATTTCCCCGTCAAATCTAGCGGAAAAAATTTTCCCGCTAAATCTAGCGGAAAACTTTCCCCGCTAAATCTAGCGGAAAAAATTTCCCCGCTAAATCTAGCGGAAAAATTTCCCCGCTAAATCTAGCGGGAAAATTTCCCCGTCAAATCTAGCGGAAAAAATTTTCCCGCTAAATCTAGCGGAAAACTTTCCCCGCTAAATCCTAGCGGAAAAAATTTCCCCGCTAAATGTAGCGGAAAAAATTTCCCCGCTAAATCTAGCGGAAAACTTTCCCCGCTAAATCTAGCGGAAAACATTTCCCCGCTAAATCTAGCGGGAAAATTTCCCCGCTAAATCTAGCGGAAAAAATTTCCCCGCTAAATCTAGCGGAAAAAATTTCCCCGCTAAATCTAGCGGAAAACTTTCCCCGCTAAATCTAGCGGAAAAAATTTCCCCGCTAAATCTAGCGGAAAAATTTTGGTCACGTGACCCGGGGGTCACGTGACCTGGGGAGTCACGTGACCCCCTCCCGAGGTCACGTGACCTCTGAGGGGCACGTGACACCGAGGTCACGTGACCCCCCCCCCCCCCCCCCCCCCCCCCCGAGAACACGTGGCCCTCAGTACCCTCCCCTCCTCCTCCTCAAGAGCTGCGCTCCAATTCGGCGTTACAGGGAGTGGTAAACGGCTTCCACTTTTTTTGTATCTCTTTTTAGGTAACTAAAATAAAATACACTGAACTAAAGAAAATATATTTTTGTTTTAAAGGGACACACACCCCCCAAAACTTTTTTTTTTCATTTTTTGCCAGGCGCTTTATTATGGTGTCGGAGGACTACCCAATTAATATTTTGCAACAGAGCAGTGTATATTTTTAATAAAGCCAAAAGACGCAACTGCTCAAAACCAAATCCCACGCACGAACGTCAGAGAAGTGGAGAGGAGAGAGTGAGTGGCGGAAGTCACGTGGCTACACCCGACCGTGCGCTTTTTTTTTTTTTTTTTCCCCTCTGTGTAGCAGATGACATGTGTGAACTGTTTGCCGTGCAATTCTTTTGCAGTTATGTTTGTTCCGCTCGCTGTTCTGTACTTCAAGATGAGTTGTTTTGCACATTGAGGAGTTGGAGATGAGTAGTAAGTGCCCGTGGTGAATTTCCATGATCGGCTCCGAAAAGAATACACCCAAGATGTTGTGTGAAGAGCTGCTTCATATGTCCTGCGTCCGTAAAAAAGTGGCATTGTGCGACAGAGTTTCCGAAAGATCAACGGGATTGGGACCAATGGCTGGCTGCAATTCCTGTAGAACATTTACGGGCACCTCGGAAAGTGGACGCTGCCCGATTTATATGCTCCTTGCATTTTGTGGAAAGTGATTACATTGAGTTCGCAGGTGTCAAAAAGGAAATCGCATACCATTTAGTTCAGCGACGTTTCGTCCACAACATTTGTTTGTTATTTGTTTGTTCCTTCAGTGATAATTGTAAAAAAAAAAAGAAATGTAAACATCGCAAAATGTCTGAAAAAAGGAAAAAGGTATGGTTCCACTGGGGTCGAACCCAGTCCTGCCGCGTGAAAAGCGGACGTCTTACCACTGAGCTACTGGGGCAACTCCCTCCTCAGTAATGGTACAGCCGGTAAACTGTAAGGTGGAAAGTTTGCTGCTGATTTTCCTCTAGCAAAAGCACTCCCGGGTCAAAGTCGAAACACCACGCATTGGCGACATTCGCAACTAGTAGACAAATCGTACGCGTGCATATTCAACTCAAAGTACACGCTTCGTGTGGTGCTTGATGTTTGCGTGAGCGATGTCTTCAGCCACGAGAAGGGAGCAACGGCTCGGCGACGTCTTCGTGCAAATCGGCTTGGTGGTCGGGCATGTTGTACGGGATGAATACCAATTCTTTTGATCAGGCTGACAGAATTTGCCGGTACCGCGAACGACAGTTCTAGGGTAGAGGTCCAACGTCCATCGTCCGGTGCCATCGCTGTCTCCGCGAGTCCCACGATACGCGAAACGACGCAAGCACAGGATGCATCCGGTTCTCTGTGCAACTTTTTTTTTCAATCAACGTATTTGCAGTTTTCTGGAAGCCACAAAAAATTGTTTTCATATTTTTTCTATTTTTAATATTGAGTGTGTGCCTTCAGTGACCAACGACTTTGATTAAATTTGGTGGTCGCGTCGAAACCTTAGAAAACGGCCCGTGACCATGGAAAAGAGAGTGAGCGATACTCGAACCGGCCAGTTCTTGATCGGCGGTTTTCAAGCGGAAAGAAACCGAATTTCGAGCCGCAAATTGAGTTTTGGGTAGTGTGGCTCTCATATGTCATGTATAGGGCTCCGTGTTTTCGAATAAATCCGAAAAACTCCGAAAAACACCCGCCGGTAAAATTTTTGTCAATTCAGATTTATCCGATAAACTCCGAATTGATATGTGCCCGTGCCCCTCCCCTTCCCCCCTCCTCCTCCCCTCCCTCCCTCCCTCCCTCCCTCCCTCCTTCCCTCCCTCCCCCCCGGCAAAAAAAAAAAAAAAGTAAAAGATTGTTTTTTCTTTTTTTTTTTTTACAGTTTGATTAGCACAGAGCCAATGCTTCTGGGAAAATTCCACCATAATTATCTCTCAAATCTCGCACCGTTGTCAAAAGGGGTCTTGCCGTCTCTTCAAGGTTGATTCAGGGCAACAGGTCGTTCGTTTTACATTTGGGTCACGACGAAAGCCACTCTTTTGGTTTCCAGTTTGGGCCATGCGATTTGTGATTTAGAGAAAGGAAAGGGTATGTTTTAGCAACAGTGAAAGCTATGGCCCATAGGGATTGTATAAAATTGGGAAGAGGGGCAGTTCAAACTTTCTATTACCTCCTTAACCACTCCACCTCGCGCGGCCGCGGGCTAGGTTGATGGAATAGGATTAAATGACTACGAGTTTCCTAGCGACTACCTCCCGAAGTTTATTGATTTTAAGGTATCGGCGTTTATCGAAGCGCCACTTGTGTGACTTTTGTCGTGGATAAATTAGTATTGCCCATGGCAATGGCACCAACGCCAAATTCAACAGAAGATATTTCAATTGATACAAGCCCGTTTTATTTTTAGCTGGCATACGTTTACATTCGGTTATTGTTCATTTATTTATTTTTAATAGGAAACACAGCGAAATTAAACTCCAAATTTCGTAGAATTGGGAATCAAAAAAATATAAACTCCGATAAACTCCGAATCTTCGGCAAAAAATAAACTCCGAAAAACACCCTCCGACTTTGACAAAAAATAAACTCCAAAAACACGGAACCCTAGTCATGTACAACTAAAAACCTCGGCGAGCATAAATACCCTGTCAGTGTCTCTTTAAGGGGGGATACGGCCCCGAAATTCCATTTTTTTTCTGAAAAAACTGCATTTTCAAAAAATATTATATTTGGGTTCACTAAACACAAACTCATCTCTGTGACGTCACGGCGCGGTGGTGGCGCGTCGGGCGCACTTCCGGTCTGGGGCTGCGGGCGGAAGTCCCCATGTGAGACGTGTATTCCTGCGTTGTTTTGAAAGGAACCAGACAAAAACCTGCCTTCTCGTCAAAACACCACGACTGGGGCTGTACCAAAAGGGTCGAGAAAGGTTTGAGAGCCAGTTTTCATGTGCTCGGTTCGTCCGAGAACGGGGATATATGCCGTGAAAAGGGAAAACCATGAGGCCGTTGGACCACGATTGCTTGGGTGGGAAGCACTTTGGGTGTAGCGTTTGTCGTGCGATCATTCCGTTCTGCGTTGGAAGATAGAACGACAGTTCCCAAGTAGCGGCCCCACGTCTGCTGTCTAGCTCGCGGTACATCACCATATGGAAAATGACGTGTACATCAACGTATTTGCAGCTAACGTATATGCAGCTTCTTGGAGGCCGCAAAAATGGGGCTCACTTCTTTTCGATATTCAATGTGTGTCTTAGATGACCCATGACTTTAAATATATATGGTACACATACTTTGAATGCCCCGTGACCATGGAAAAGAGAGTGAGCAAATTGTGTTTTGGTAGTTGGCCTCTTATAGGTCACATTCAAGTAAAAACCTCGGTGAGCAAAACTACCCTGTCAGTGCCCTTTAAGTACCTGGATAGAACACGCATGCAACAAAATAAACTTTTGCAGAAAAAGATTTAACTGCAATATTTAGGTTGCAAGACTTATTTTAAGTGTTCCCCCCCCCTCACTCTCTCACAATATACATATATTTCCCATTTTTTGAGAGAGAGGAAAGGGGAGTTTATTTTCGGTTACATGTCTACAATCCAGGCACTTAAAACATATTTTTGAGGGAGCTCAGTGTTTCTAGAATCGATTCACAACATTCTTCTATTTCAGGTCATCATGTCGAAATATCAAAATTGCTCCCAACTCAAAATGTATCCTGCAATATTTTTATTTTTTGGGGGAGGGGGGTTATGCTACACATGTTTTAACATAAAAAAAACATTTTTTGGGAGTTTGTTGTTCTTTAACTACATATGCGTTCCTTCACTGGCTAAAAGGGGCAAACTTCAGACAAGTGTAGAGCCTAGAATTTTCGGGGCAAAGCTGCAAACCAAATGCTTAGAAGGGCATGCTGCGGATCACTACGTCGGACGTTTCGTCGTCTCATGTTTCAGAAGGATGGCAGGTCTGCTTCCATTGCTGTTTTACAATCAGCGTTTTCTGAGAGTTATGGTGGCATACCGTATCACCTGAGGGATTTCCCTCGCTGTTACCCGTTTCGAGAGTGACACCACCACGCACCGGTTCGTCAACATGTGCCGATTACACTTTGTCCCCATGTGGTAGGAATCGCGAGACGATGTAACATGTGGGCAACCTGGTCCAACGCCCGCCAGGCTGCCCAAACACCTTAATACAAGATCGAGTGGTTTCATTTTCCCGGCCACTTACGTACTTGCTCTGGTCCCAAGAGGCAGAAGTGGTGGGTCTCTTGGATGAAGGAGTCGTCACAGCCCACTGCAAGGCACAAATGAAGGACCAATTGGGAAAATGAATGACCGATTGGGTGCCTTAATTCAAGAGCGGATCCCCCTTAGACCGTCGCTCAAGCAAAATGTTCGCCGTACGACAAAATGTAAAAAAAACAATTCAGGGGCAAGAAAGTCAGACGGCCACATTCCGAGAAATATGGCGGCGCACCACACTTCATCCCAATGTTCTAACCTGAGAGCCCACAAAGACCCAGGCTGTCTACCCGTTTATTTAAAATTCCTTGACTTCCGAAGGTTTCCTCTGACTCTTTCGATTACACTCCCCGGTCACTGCAAAGGGAAGAAATCTGGAACGTGGTGCTAAATAAAATCTAGCATATAGAAATGCTCGGTAACTGAAAAGAATGAAAAGAATATTGCTGGAATTGTGAGAATCATTGTACATACTTTCATAGAGTGATCATAGTCCTGAGGGCATAAAAGGAGACATTTGGCATGGTCGAGGAGGGAAGGGGGGGGGGGGGGGGGGGGGGGGCAGACAGAAAAAAAGGCTGTGGTACATTCAGTTGAAAGTAAACACAGACATTTCTCCAAAGCCCCTCGTAGAGAACACAGGGACTTCTTTCCCCCATTTTGAACAATAGCAAAAAAAGAAAATAATGTAGCCAACTGAAGCAGACCATATTTAAAAATATACTAGTCTGCCATACTGCAGGTTTATGCAAACAAAATATATTGGACGATGTAACCTCAGCGAGAGGCCAACATTGTACTCTTTGAAAAGTAACATTTTCATAGTATGTTTTGTGGGGATTGAAAAGGACGACAATAAAGATGCCTCGTGAGGCAGACCGAACTAGCTCGCGCTCAGGACGAGCGCGCGGTAGAACGGGCGTAGACACCAGTGAAGCGGCTGTCTTTTCTTCAGTCTCCACATTGGCGCCCAACGTGGGGCCTGAAGAAAAGACAGCCGCTTCACTGCTTCAATCCTAGCGACCATGGTATCATGGGTGAGTCGGCTGAAAGTCTATGACAAGCTACTTCGAATTTATAGGTTCCGTCCAGTCACGTACTTTATACCATCCCTTGACGCTATGCGTCACGAAAGTAGAGGTATAACAGAACCCTACATTGTGGTTAACATTGCCGGTCAACAGATCGCAGCTCTCTTGGATACCGGAGCTGCAATTTCACTTTTTGGAGACTTCGTTAGAAAATTGTGCAAAGACCGGAACATCTCAATGCGGCGTTCTCAGAGAGAGCTCCGTACGGCATCTGACCAACTTATCTCCGTCACTGAAGGAGCTCGACTGAAGCTGAGCTTTGATGGGCGACAATGTCGACAACATTTCACATACCTGCCGGGTCTCGCCTGCCCTATTCTTCTCGGTCGAGATTTCATCTCCAGGGAAAAAATAGTCCTAGATTTGTCAGCAGAAGAATATCGATATGGCTCGCAGTCCGCTACTTTCAAGTTTGCAGTCAGACCAATGCCTACGGCAGCTCGTCCTCTAGAGGGTACAATATGTGAGAGATTCCCCTCCTCGGGGTATCTGCACGTGGCAATGAAGTCATTTTCTGGCACCGACTCGGACCGTTCACGTATAGCGAAGCTTTTGGAGAATTTCTCACATATGTTTACAGAAACACCTGGGAGGACTAACATCCTCGAACACCGAATTGATACTGGAGACACACCGCCTATCCGATTTAACGCGCGGCCCCTAAGTGTTCACAAACGCACACTCCTGGACGGAGCACTGAATGAGATGATTCGGACCGGAGCCGTCCGTCCCTCGAAAAGTCCATGGGCTTTTCCGGTTGTGTTAGCACCCAAGAAGGATGGCACCGCACGCCTCTGCGTAGATTACCGTCCTCTGAACGCGGTCACGAAGCGAGATGCATACCCCTTTCCATCAGTCTCGTCTGTTTTATATGCACTGGGGTCTGCACGGATATTCACAACCCTCGACTGTAGTAGGGGATTTTTGCAAATTCCCGTAGCAACAGATGACGTCCCTAAAACAGCATTTGTTTGCCCCAGGGGTCTGTTCGAATTTGTCCGACTCCCCTTCGGCCTATCTAACTCCCCTGCGAGCTTCCAGAGGCTCATGGATACAGTCTTGGGTGATGCAAAGTTTAACTTTGCAATGGCCTACATGGACGACGTAGTAGTGTTTTCTAGTACTATCGAGGACCACCTTCACCATTTACAGGTCGTCCTAAAGCGCATGAGTGAAGCTGGTCTCACGATTAACCCTTCAAAAGTGCAACTTGCATCACCCAAAGTGGAGCTTCTTGGCTTCGTGGTCGACCAAGGATCGCTCCAGCCGCAAGCAGAGAAGCTCAGAGCAATTATAGAATTTCCCCAGCCAAGAGACAAAAAAAGTTTACAACGGTACCTTGGCATGGTGGGATTCTACCGCGAGTTTATTGCCAACTGCGCTGATTTGGCCCGGCCCCTTCACCAGCTATTACGCCGGGAAGTTCCATGGACCTGGACTTCCGCTCAGGAACAAGCGTTTAAAGCGTTAGCAAATGCTATTGCGGATACTGCATCTCTGAGACTTCCTAATCTCAATGCTCCATTCGTCCTCCAAACGGACGCCAGTGATTACGGTATAGGTGCAGTATTACTCCAAGAACATAACGCAGCGTTGCGGCCCGTTGCATTCGCGAGTCATACTCTCACCGCGGCCGAATGTAACTATACGGTAACCGAAAAAGAATGTCTAGCTATAATATTCGCTTTGCGAAAGTTTGACATGTACCTAGATGGAGCGACCTTCACCATCCAGACTGACCATCAAGCATTAACATGGCTGAAAAACCTTAAACACCCCGCTGGACGCCTTGCCCGCTGGGCTCTGGCTTTACAGAAATATGATTTTTCCATTGAATACAAACCGGGAAGGTTCAATGTCGCAGCAGATGCCCTGTCACGAGCACCCCTACCCCCCCGAAAAGCGGATGACACAGCGGAACTCGTCGCTGTTGCTGACGCTGAAGTCTCCTGGGGTCTTTCTGTGAGCCGGGACGAGCTACGAGAAGCCCAGCAAAAAGACGACATGTGCCAAAAGGTATCCCGGTGCTTGACTCAGCCCCATCAAACCGATGGAAACAGGACGTATGGGTCGGTAGACGCATATGTACACAGCGAGGATGGACTCCTCCTTCGCTACATACCGCAGGCAGACGAAGCCGACCCCACAACGTCCCCTTTTCGTGTGGTCGTACCCCGTACATTAAGGCAAACTTTCCTCCGGTATTTTCATGACAGTGCGCTAGCGGGCCACAGTGACGGTCAGAAAACCTACCAGAAACTGTGTCGCGTTGCCACTTGGCCGAGGATGCGCCAGGATGTTCTCCGCTACACACGCAGTTGCCTACGTTGCCAACAAGCCAAACCCAGGGGAGGTAAACCCCCTGGTTTGATGCAGTCAGTGGAAAGTCGTTATCCATGGGAGATTGTTTCATGTGACATAATGGGCCCCTTTCCACGCAGCCCCAAAGGAAACAGGTATCTCCTGGTAGTCACCGACCACTTCTCAAAGTGGGTGGAGCTTCACCCTCTCCGCCAACTGAGTTCCAGGACCATTTGGGACAAATTGAGGGACACCTTCACCCGCTTCGGGTTCTGTTCCCAATTAATTTCCGACAACGCATCCTACTTCACAAGTAAGGTTTTTGAGGACTGTTGCGCAACACTGGGCATCCAGCACAAGTGCACCACTCCTTACCACCCTCAAGCCAACATAGCTGAGAGGGTCAACCGGAACCTCAAAGCAATGCTAGTGGTATACACCGAGAGACATAAAGACTGGGACAATTACATCCCGGAAATGGCTTTCGCCACTCGAACTACGGAGAACCGTACGACAGGGTTCACACCTTCCCAAATAAACTTCGGACGCGAGCTGCGATTTCCCCTCGAGAACAGCTTTTCCGACGATAATCGAAGACCAAACACCTCGTACGCGAGATTCGCTGAACAACTTCGTGATAAAATCACCGACGCTGTGCGAGTGGCTCGACAAAATATTGAGTTAGCGCAGCTCGATCAGAGGAACCAATATGACCAAGGCAGGAGATCCCTAGAATTTTCAATAGGCGAATGCGTTCTCCGGCGCGTGCACCCGCTTAGTAATGCAGCAAAGGGATTCGCGGCATCACTAGCTCCTCGTTGGGAAGGTCCCTTGGAAGTTGTTTCACGGGTATCACATTTGGTGTATAGGTTACGACATGTCGAAGACGGGTCGTTAACTGGACCCGTTAACATTTGTGATCTGAAGCCGTTTGTTTCTAGACATGTCACCCTTTAGGGATGTCCTAAGAAACACAGTCCCCCGTCAATTTTTGCCACACGAAAGATTGTTGCTCATGGTTATTTTCTATCCAGGCATGCCACCTCGACGCAGCAACACCCATTCCTTCCGACGCTCTCGGAGCCGCTCCCGATCCCCCCTACGCCCCCAATTCAACCCACGGGGCCACTCGCGCCGCACCAGGCGACATAACCGCCGTCAGCAACCGCCACGCACTGCCGAGGCTGCCACCTGGTGCGTGATGGAGGCCGGTCGAATGGTCACATTCGCGTCCCGGATGGCCTGGGAACACCAACCTCAAGTGCCACAAGGGACTGCACCAGAAGACGTTCCCCATCCCTTCCGGCGACGGACACTGACGGAGCGCTGTGCTGCAGATCTACCCGCCGCCTACGACGAGGAAGAATATGCCGACATCTGTGAACTTTGCCGCGTCCCACTCATTTCATGCGAACAACATCATCAAGGAGCACTTCACCACGACCGAGAAGACCGCCAGCGGGCGCTGGTGCGAGCTGGATCACGGGCCCTTACACCTGCCGACATCGAGGCCGCCCTCCTTATTGTTGACCGTGCCTGCCCCGAACGCCTGCGCCGAACACTACCCTTACCACCAGAACTGGCGAACATCAGACTCAGCGACGATGAAATTTAACTACCACATCAAACTCTATAGCCTCACAAGCAAAATAATACCTAAACCGTCGAGCTACGTTCACATACAAGAGATCTTTCGCCACATAGAAGCCATCTCTTGGGGAGGCCACCGCCCATCACCACGACCTCACCAACCACCCCCCACCGACGAGTCGTGACCAGGAAAGCACGTCTGTCCTGGCCACCCTTGCATCGCTTGCCGAGGCACAGCTCCCAACGCAACCCTATCGTCGACGGAGGCCGTGCAGTGACTGCAATCACGGCATCACTATGCCCCCTGCCAAAAACTCCACAATCATGGCGTGTGCTCGGGGAGGGGACCAACGAAAACCACCTGATGAAGAAACTCTCCGCCCCCCCCCCCCCCCCCCCCCCCCCCCGAGAGGGGGAATGATGTGGGGATTGAAAAGGACGACAATAAAGATGCCTCGTGAGGCAGACCGAACTAGCTCGCGCTCAGGACGAGCGCGCGGTAGAACGGGCGTAGACACCAGTGAAGCGGCTGTCTTTTCTTCAGTCTCCACAGTTTATATAAAATTAGGCCCATAACATAAAAACATTCTTTCGGTTTTCTTCCCAACTGCTTAGTACTGATTTTGCAACTTTACATTTTTCAACGAAAATAAGACACGAGGCCTCATTGAGACAAAATGATGGGGCGGCAGAAATTAACCTCGGAAACAGGACTGTTCCAGCCAAAACGGGACGCCTGGGCACCTAATGTTTTTGCCTTTTAATTACTATAATAATATTGCCACAAACACATATTTTCTTTTTGAAAGCGAATAGTTGTTACGAAAGCATGATAACATCGGTTTCCACGGGGAAATGCGAAGATGTAACAGCATCGGGCACTGGTGCCATGCGACATCGTCACGTGAAAGTGCGACCTCACGTGACGTGGTCACGTAAGGTCGCACTTTCACAGTTGTCGCACTTTCACAGTTGTCACACTCCGATGACATCACGCGACCGCTGTCACCCAACGTACGATGGTCACATTATTGGGCCACCGAGGGTCGCTCGACGGCGCGACGTCGAGCCCGAGAAAACAGCCCGCGCTTGCCGGCTTTATACGTAAAAAGCTATTCTTCAGCAGATACTAAATACTACTACTACTACTACGACGACCGCTTCCAGAACGGTCGACACCCACTCAGGTTTGGGAAGAAAGCGTGCCCGGACATAGAGCGGCCATTTCCAGCAACCTTACCACTGCGGGCAGGCACGCGAAGTGGTGCCCAGGGGCGGTGCAGGAATTTCCTGAGGGGGGGTCAAATGTTGGTCAGCGTACCATATGTTTAGGAACCCCCTCCCCCTCTCCCTCGTTTCACGCCCTAAATTTTACAGATGCAGAAATCAAGAGGGGGGGTCAGGACATCCAGACCCCCCCCCCCCCTCTAAATCCGCCCCTGGTGGTGCCTGCCCGCAAACACCGAAGTGGCAACAAATAACTTCGCAGAAGCCCCAGTGTCACGCTGTTGCGATCCTAAAAGCTCCGGCAAAACGTATGAGCGATCGGGGGACCGCACTCCAAGACGCGGGAAATGCGCTGGCCGGAGGCGTGTTCGGGGCACCGTGACCGGACCGCCATGCCACCCGAAACCCACCCGGGCAGGGCAGCGTGGAGCCCAGCTGCGGGTGCTGCACAAATCCACGCTCGTCCAGGCGGCTCCGGCAGTAAATGCCAAAGCACTCCAGGCAGATGACGTGCGACGACGTGCAGGGGAACACCAGGACGATGCGGCTGCAAAAGAGACGTCGCTTGGACCCTTCCTTTCCAATGTCGCCCAGGCGATTTCGAGGATTTGCAACGAAAATGAGTTCCTCTTTGTCATTTCTCACTCTGCAGTGAAAGATTCCCCATGCTTCTGTTTATTCCATAAAATTTATTTTCATAATCCCATCTTAAGATCAAGTGATAACTCGCCGCATTTCCATCCCGTGTTGATCGTCGGCATAAAGTTGGAGTCCCACAAGCTCATCAACTTCACTCATCACTCCTTCCTTGCAAGAAAATAGAACCACTCCACCTGGTTTGAATGCTACCAACACTGACCCTATTTTCTTATTTTCCCACTCTTCAACCGAACCAGTGATACGGAGGGGGGGATCGGTGGTCGAGCACGGGCACGCCAGCTCGGAGCACGTGGAGCAAAAGCTCGTGCTGCAGAACCCAGGGATCCTGGATTCAATCCCCGCCTCTGCCCATTTCAATCTGGATGTGCATTGCACCGGCGTGCAGTCGCGTATCAATACTGCGCGGTGCAAGTTAAAGGGGTACTCCGCCTTTTTTCAGCTACCGAAACAAATTGCATTTTCCAAATACCTGGACTTCAGTCTTTACAGTATGCTATTTGTTGTCTCGATATTCAAAATAGATATTGAGAAAACTGTAAATGAAAATAATGCTGAAACCAACATCCAAACTTCCGAGCAAGCTCCAGTGGTGTGACAACAAAAACGGTACAGAACTTCAGGTAGTGCAGGTTGTGTTAAACAGGGTATGTCAAGCGTTCTTTCCTGCTTCTCAGTGAATGATCTTAAAAGCATTCTTTTTCCCACCATCAAACGTCTTGTAATTAGTCGGAAATGTGATCGTCTTAATCAGTCGGAAATGTGGTGTAATGCGTCTTTTACTACTACTACAACTTTTACTAATGTTACTGCAATCAGTTGGGAACGACATTAGAAAATTCAATAACTTTGCAAAAACTTTCTTTCCACACAAAACTAGGGGGATTGGTACAGCCGTGTATATCAGTGTGTTGAGCCAATTTTGAGGCAAATCAGTGACCGTAAAAAAATTGCTGGAGTACCCAATTGAAGATCCGAGGCTAGCGGGTGTAGTGCACTGACTAAATTTCTTATCTACAGCTGAGACACCACGTGCCCACTGAGGCTGACTAACTTCCGGCTTGTAGGAATTCGCGTACCGCCGCCGATTCCCCATTTCCCACGTGGTCCGTCAACAACCCGAGTCCAGCCTGGTTCTTTCACAAGAGCGAGATTCCGCTCCCCGTTTATTGGTACATAAAACACAACGCTACAAAAACCTCAATCTAAACTATAAATACACGCGACATTACACAAATATTTACAAAAGCACGTTAAGCCCAAAGCTAAACACAAAGAGGGCCCCCCCATGCCTCGTGTCCCGCGATTACCCTAGATCCGGTCGCCCTACACTTGCCTGGGCTCGGTAGCGTCCGAAGTTCTAAGAGGCCTCTCGCCCCCTGGCCTATCGAGTATACATCGATCGATGGGCGAGGAGGTTTCTCCTCGCCCTCCCTGGGGCGCCTGCAGCGCCATCCAGTGCTAGGAAAAAAAGCGGCATGTCGGGAGCCGAATTCGAGATCCCGATCAACCCCGCAGCGACACGACCATGTGATCATGTCTGAGGCGAGGCAGCTACATAGTTGCCTCGTGGCAGAGTGGTTTGATGGGCGTCCTCGTGAATGCACGGTGCGCCATAGGCTGTACAAACATACACACCACATTATTATTATTGATGCGGAGGGTATGAAAATCAACTCTTTTCGTTGTGTCTCTTGCACCCCACATGTGCAGACAGGATAGCTTTGAGAGAATCGTCTGCCAATGTCCCTGGGTTGCACACACCACTGGGTCAGGCAGCAGCTAGTACCATTTAGCCGACAGCAGCGGCAGTGGAAGCCGCAAAGACCCTTCTATTGACGCTCGAGATCTGCACCAGGCGGTGCCAGCTGCCTCCCAACATAGTGGTGTGTGGAATCGGAAAGGTCTGCTCATTTGAGTGAGTGCTGCAAGATTTTATTTTTGGTATTTCCTAAATTTCATATTTCCTAATTATGAATGCAATGGGCTGACATGTAAACTGGTAAATAAGAAATCATGCTAACTCACTTGTAAGCAGTTCTTTATTGCGCATTTAATTATTGAACTTATCACCGAGCCACAATTGCAACAAATAATGTGCGCTCAGCACTACTGAAAGCATGCATAGCCCAGCATTTTTCTCCAACTTTTTTGCGTTTCAAACTCAATCATCTTGTCTTTTAGACAGGAACGTAGCAACTGGGGAAGTCCCGTCAGACATTGCATGAACTGGACAGGGTGTGCACAATGTTTTGGGTTGGGTGTTCGTTTAGGATTTTATGACAGTAGCATTAGCAACATTGGTTTAAATAACCTCTTTATGCCACAGAACGAATCTCAGTAGGCTTCCTATTATCTCCGCAAGCTTTTGATATGCTGCCCGTTGATATGCTTTCTCAAATATTGCGTTTAGGAATGCCAGTTTTGTTCAACCTCCAGGGGAATATATTCCCAGTCATTGACACTGTTGTCCAACGCAGACAAGGAGACATGTTGGGCCGCCCGACCTGCCCCCCTTCTCTTCCTTCTCATCTCAATGCCTCTCTGAGCCTCTCGCCCAGGGACCCAAGAAAACTTTCCCAAAGGAATATTCAGTTCTATATAAGGGCAGTCTTGCAAGTTTGACGGAAATTTCGGGTACCGTATATATCTGGGAATTTATATGTCAATTATGATTTTTTTTCAAGATAACATTGAATTTGAGTGGCTTTGGCTGGGTTATCCCCTCCATCCATTTGCCGGTTTGTTGTGCGACCATCTGGCAACACTGAGGAGCACTCGTACAACTTTTTTCGGCAAAATCAATTTTCAATGCCGCCGTGAAAACTATGGAGGAAGGAACCAGTCAAATCGAAGCTTCTGAAAGTGCCGCTGCACCTTTGCGGAAAAAAGACTATAACAAGAAATACTGCAATGTCTGGAGATACAGACACCATGTCCAAGATACAGACTTACCATGACTAATATTAATTTGTCAAGTGCCGTGCACGAAATGGTGCTTACTATATGTCGTGTTCTATGTGTTTGAGTTTGAGAACTCTAGCTTGTGCTACAGCTTTTGTTTTGGACTGACTTTTATAAAAAGTGCTTAAGAAGTTATTAAAGCAGTATCATGTTCTGACGACGTGCATGACATCTAAAGAGAAGATAGCATACCTGCCAAGTTTGCAGAAACCAAATCCGGGAGAATTTCTAAGCAGGGGGAAAGGGAAGGGGGGAGGTAGCTAGTGTTTTGAAAAGAACTACTGACAACAAATTTGCGTAAAGACAACTTCATTACATTTATATATTGCACTGCTCATGCTCATGGGATTTTAGCCATCTGATGCAATGGCAAAAACTCATTCTTTAAGTGTGGGAGGGAGGGAGGAGGGGGGGGGGGGATTTGTGTTTTCCGGAAGATTTTTCTGTCAATCATACAACCGTACAAACTGCTCAAGATTTGGAAGTCTCCCGGCTAATACGGGAAACTTGGCAGGTATGAGATAGGGTTTCATTCGTTAGTTTGAATCTCCCGGCAACACTTTCCCTCACCAGATTTGCTTTGACCACTCTTTTGGCCCGATAAACTCATTTTGGCAAAACGTGCGCGAGGCCTAAAGACTACATAATATATCTCTCATCGTAAAAATGGAAGTGGTGCAGAAAACAATGAGTATTTAATATTATGTAATTATTTGGGCAAGCAATTCTGACATTCTGTGTTGGCAGCCTTGTCCAGGCGGCACGACCTTAGACTAGGCTTGAAAGGGGTACATGCTCCCACTGCAGCCATCTTGCCAACTCTTTGTAAGGCACATGCTTCTGCTGTATTTGGTTCCTTACGGTTCTGCTAGTTTCATCTTGCGTAGAGAGTTTGGGGGTCCAAGAGCTCGTGACCACTGGTAGCTTTGGTCTTGCGAAAGGAAAGCTCGACGAATCAGAGCGTGCTGGTAGCGTTACGAGAATAAACAATTTGTTGACTTCCATTTGTCCATGGCAAACGAAGGTTCTCACTTTTAAAGAGAAGCGTGGCACACTATGAATGGAGAGTTGCAATCTCAGTCGAAGGAGAATGAACGCTGCGTGAAACTCAGGGACTCTTATGCCGTCGACTCTAGATGGCACTAACAGGTAACGCCACAACATCCTCCATCTCTTGCATGCAAAGGCACATAAGATGGAGAATGCTACGGCCAAGGTGGCAGCTCCCGTCTCCGACTGTGAATATGTGTCGTTTGATAACTACGTTGTTGCCTCTGAACCGCAGAGCACGTCAGACGTTGCCACCGAGCTCGTTGGACGTGACAGCAGTTGCACGACGGCCAGATTCGAGGACGTGATTGTGGAGCTAGTTGCTTCTCACATGCACATTGATGCTCGTGGCTGCGCAGCGTCGAGTGCACCTGAGCTTCCTTTCGAGGCCGGGACTGGTGCAACAAGCTTTTTTTTCTACTCCAGATCAGTACTTATGCTGCATTGGCCAAAATGTGCCCGACAACTTTGAACCGGTGCTGTTAAGTATTGAGGGCAAATCGGCATTTCGTGGTATGACGTCTATAATTTGTTTGGCTTTTTACGGGGGAACTCCCCCAAACCGACAGAAAAACATTGAAAACAGTACCGAGAGAGTCATATAAGCGCTTAATTATAATTCCTCACAGGTATCATAGTTATCACAGTTGCACGAGCACAAGCGCGGAAGAACATTCTTGCGGAGTTATAAACTTGCAATCACCGCTCCGTAGGCATTTTTTGTTCGCAAATTGAGCGCAGGCAGAAGTCATTGGTCTGTGCACTGAACGCAAAAAACAGAAAAGTGGCAATGGCACGACAACTTTGCTGGGAGTGTCTTGCTTACAAAGCAGTTTCAGTTTCATGAGCAGTGCCACGCGCGACTATAAAAGTGAAACCGAGTATGGCAGATTTTTTTTTTCTTACTCTGGTAAGGTTAAAGAGCCGACTCTCGAATTGTTCGAGCAGTTTCCCACCCACCTGACGTCAGTGCAGGAGAGGCAGGGCACCCCGAGGAAGTTGCAGCGCACGAGGGGTAGCACCGTTGACCCCCGCTGGTCGTGCCCCTCCAGCCGGTTGGAGGAGGCACACTTGAAGAAGAAGTCGGCCAGGCGACCGCCACAGCCCTCTTGCTCGCAGCGGCCACCCAGGCGGCCGCGCTCCAGCACGTCCGGCCAGCACGAGGGCTCCTGGACGGGAAGCGCCGTAAGCTCTCACAACGTTCCTCCCGAGGGATGTCTAGTCGATGCCACGTTGGCGACGAGGCCCGGATTCTCTACGTCACGTGGCAAAGGCCAGCGTGGGGCACGGGTGGAGCACGAGGGCTGTGTCAGTGTTCGACTAGGAATTGCATTCAGGTGTCCAGGACCCAGACAAATGCTTATGCAAAATTTGTGCCCACCCAAAAAATGTTAGTTTGGAATGTGAATCATTCCTCCTTGTAGAAGGGTTTGCCTAAGCATAAAACTGCTTTTTCCCTTTTATACGGCACACATTCCCCCCCTTCCCAAAGCGCTTTTACCCATTTGGGACAGCCCCAAAAATGAGAGCAAGTTCTTAGGTTGCGATGCCAGATTTCGCAAGCTAAAGTAACAAAATCTGCTGCTTCTCGCTGAGAACAAACCTTTTGCAAAAACTTGCAAAAGCTTGGATGGTACCGCTTGCTTTGCAATTGGTCTATTGCAAAGTAAAAGCATGCATGCTCATGCAATGATGATAATAATAATATTAACCTTTCTTTTAACATGTGCCCAAACAGGTCAAGGCCTTCAGTTTAGAACTCAACAAATATAATGCAACTCTAAAAAAAAAAAACAGAAAAAAACGACACAGATACTGAACTATGCAATTAATATACTGCCGAGATTATGACAAAATGTTGTTATATCACAAAGTATTTTGTGATGCAATGATTTATATTTTAGTTATGACAATTTTTCCAAAATATTTTAAGGGGGCACACCCCCTAGGGGGGTCAACTTTTGAACCCTTGTCTTAAAATTAACGAAATTTACAGGGTAGGCTGGTGGTCATGCTAGAGGGTGTATAACAAAATTACAGGTCTGTCGGTTAAATGAGAAGGAAATAAGAGTAGCTTCTATCAGCAACACGCCTACGTTGTTTAGTTAATCTATCGTCAGAAAACTATTGCGATATTCAAGATTTTTATTTGCTAGATATGTAGCAGAATGCCTAGAGGGTGCGGCTATGGAACGTTTTTTCTAAAAAGTAATTCATTTTTATAAACTTTCTCTTCTGCAAAATTGGTAAACTTTTTCGTCTTCTGTGCCTTCGACAAAATGTCAACATTTTTTACAAAAGACATCCGTAAAGTGACAAAAAAGTTCCATAGCCGCACTCCTTATTAAATTTCAGTCAGGAAAAGGGAAGAATGAGCTTTCCTTTTTTTGCCATTATCAAACGATAGATTGACTAAAATGGAATTTATACCAAAAAGTGGAACGGAGAAAAATGTGTTCAAAGTGCTCCAAACCCTACCTTTTCTATAGCTTTGGTGGACAGAAAATAATTTATAAAAAATTAACTATACAGTGAAAATTAATGAAACTTTTTGGGAATTCTCTAGATGTTGGTGGATGTAAAGATGTCATTTTTCAAAATCAACTTTTTTTGCAGAAATTTTTTTTTCTGGGCAGTGTCTCCCCTTAAGGTAGAAGATGAGAGAAAAAGTGCATAGCCAATTGCTGGGCAATTGTGTTGCACGTGAAACATGTGGCATCTACGCCCTCTTCATCGGTTAGTTTAGCAACTGGCTTAGCGCGTGGCACGTACATTCGGAAGCTATTCCTGGAATGGAGATACCGGTGCTAACCCGGGTTTTGAAAACATGCGGCAGTGTCCAGTTGCTATCAGCCGGATGCAGAGAGGATGCCCCACAGGGCTTTCCCGTCAACCCCAACACATGGCAAATGTGTCGTGGCATGCTGGAAATAATTTAAATGGTCTCGTTTCGATGCCCACCTGGTGCAAATGCTTTTTTTACTGCCACTCAAAAAGCAACACTTCTATCCAGGCCACACTTTTGGGCTCCAGGAAATGCCCAACACTTAGCCAAAGAATGTGTGGATAGAAAAGCTGTGACTAGGCTAGTATGCGGTGGGGCGTGAAAACAGAAGGAGCTCTACAAGACAGGCAAATCTGTGATTCCATCAACAACCTTATACTAAAACGTTGTGCACTTATTCGTAATGATGCAAAAACTCTGCTTCTATTTCAGAACTTTCTGGGGCGGATAATATTTGGGCTTGTCTGAGGGATGAAATATGTGTTCTCCATTGTGAAGCAGGTTTGTGTTTCAATGGGGTTTGGATTGCTTTCATCGTGTCTCAAGCTTGTCGGCTTTGGAAAGAGGATGGGGAGGGGTTTGAATGGAGATATCACATATATCATCGAAAAAAAGATCATAAACCTTCATAAGAAAATATATACTGGGTATTTCAACAAAGACTTTAAGAAATTCCTAAAAAGGTCAAGAAAAATCTCCTTTCGGGAACAAACTGCCAGTCGTGGTGGACGTCGGGGATTCCAAGAAACATACTAATACGAAGAGCAAGTCGTCTGCTTCTTGTGCAGGAGTAGCAGTGAGGTCAGAACGACGCCGAGCTCTGATTGGCTTTGATTGAAAGGTTAGTGGGTAGACCTCAATGCTAAATGACTCGAGCTCTACCCACTGTCGAGTTTCCTAGGTTGGGGCGCCCATAACAGCTGTGAAATGAGCGACCATCCAGTCCAGGCTCCCAGGCAGAAAAAACGTTTTTTTGAGCCGTCCGCACGTGTCTCGTGCCACCCACGTCGCACATGGGTCACTCAACAATCACCACACCCACTATTTTTTTCAATCAGCCAATAAGAGCTCGGCGCTCTGACATCGTCGCAACACCTCTGCAACAAGCAGACAAACTTGCGCTCCGCATTGGCTAACTAATAACCTAAAATTTACGAAATAACTTTATAATCAAAGAAAATAAACAGACAGTTCCAATTAGAAACTTGATGGGTATCAAATAAAATCACTAAATAAGTCAATTTTAGAATCTATTTGGCCCATATGCACTTTGTTTTTCTGGGTCTGAAAAATGCACTCGATTTGGATGAGCCCAAATGGTTTTTTTGTTTATTATCATCCGTGTTTTCGCTCTGCCTGCCTTGCACCTGTAGCACAAGGGTTAGCTTTAGCACGCCACTGCGTGTTAGTTTTATGGATTTAGTGGTCGTCGACGATGCCCGTAGAGTTTCTAATTAGATCAAACACTAAATTTGAATTAATTCCTTCCTCCCCCCAGACTCCCACCTACCCTGTCCAGCAGAAAGCAGCCCTGGCCGCAGGTGGCGCACCTGACCCGGAGTTTGCCGGGCTCTACCCGTCCGCAGGGGCTCTTGCAGTACACGAAGAACAGGGTCTTGTCCACCTCTAGAAAACCCAGGCCCCTTCGCATGAGCCTCGGGACCATTTCTGATGCGTGGGGAGATTCCAAACACGCCGGTCCAAAACGCATTCCAGGCGATGTATCACGGCCAAAGAATTGCCTACACGAACCAATGTTGCCTGCCGTGCGGCCCCGAACTGCATGCCAGTCTCTCCTACCATCGGAAAACACGTAAAGACTCTTAGTTGGAATATAAGATTGCGAAACTTTTTCGCGTGAAGACATCTCCAGCCGTGACATCGGAGTAAATCTATAGAACCGACGTGACAAAAATGGGAAATGGAAGTGCTACGTCGTCGCCTTTGAGCATATTCATTGTTTTCTGCATGTGGTAAACCAACGTTTTACTTTTGCTAAAATTTGTATGGGTCCTAAATTGTGTGCACCTCTTCCACAAATAAGTCTTAAATGGTAGGTGTTATATTTTTAAGGTTCGTGTTTATTCTCCTTTCAATGTTTTATTTGGCCAGAGGCATTTTAGAAAAAGATCCAATGTTTTGCCACAAAAAAAAAAAGAGCTAGTTGTCTTTTGAAAACTTTGGTGGCTTACAAGTCAAACCGACGAATAGTTTAAACTGTAGCTCAAAAATCTTGTTATAACTCCCATTCTGCCGTAATTTCTTGACAGATAGCCCAGCTGAAAGCAAGAGAAAACAATTTTTTTATAATGAGGAGCGGGCTAATTTTTGGTGAGCAATCAAGAACATTTTTAACAATGATACTTTTATATTCTGAGACCTACCAACCTCACATCAGTGGAACATAGAAAACTATCCTTCCCAGTTTACAATGTTCACTTCTGTCTCGCTGTGGCAGAATAACACCAGTGCTGCTGAGGCCACCATGGGCCAGAGCCCTGCAATTAGTAGAGGTGGGCCCTCTTTTTGAAAGGATAGAAAATCGTGCCAAAAATAGGGGTGGGTTATTTTTCGGGGGTGGGATTTTACGTTAGATGCATTTGGTGTGTGCTACCCACACTCGCTGAAGTGGCAGGCGCTGGGTTCTTTTTATTGCACACTGGACGGTTGCTTTTTGCTAACATTGAAATGGTGTAATATATGCCACACATAGGTGAAGGATTTATCTAAACCACCAAAGGACTCTTTGATGTGAAGTCAGTTGGGAGCAATAAACCTTCTTCAAACTACTGGCCCGTCGGCAAGGACTCCGACCCACCAGCCAGGGATCTGAAGGGCATTATATTATCCCAGAGCCACCGAGATGGCATTCCTGTCTGTTCAGAAAACCGTCCTAACCTCGCAAGCCATTCCCGAAATGCACGGCGACCCCACTTACGGTAATCCCACGTATGGCACATGACACAAAGAGAAGTTGTTTGTGCTGGTTTAGCATTTGCCATTTCGGAATGAATGATGACAAAACAGGGTATGCATAAAGTTTCTTCTGTGTTCTGTTTCCTTTGTGTTAATTCTGAGAGTAGCAGGATGCATGCAAGTCGGTCTGAGCGTACGTCAGCTTGGCCCTCTGCTGCTTGCGCCCTGCAATGCAACGCCCTGAGGGATTTTCCGTAAAGGTCCATCAACCGTGAAAGCGATCCTCGGTTGCACAATATCTTTTGTAAAAAAAAAGAAATTACAGCTGAGCAACTAGAGGGAACCTTGCGGCAATGTAACGTGAGACAAGGACAGCCAAAGAAGGGCCCGTCGAAGCAAGGCCACATTGATGGGTCAAGCTTGGGGAGGGGGCGATGGGAATTTGGTTGGGGGAGGGGACGTCACAAACGGATGTGAAGTTATGGGCAAATAAAGCATTGCCCAGACCTGCTTTCTTGACCCAATAATTGCCATTTCAGCAAAAACTAAACACTTCTTCCTAAATGAAGCTATGCTGCATTTTCCATAAAAAAAGATGCCCTCAGGAGGCTTAGGGGAGACAGTCGCTGCCGCTAAGGTCCCTATATATTGAAAGGTAGCGCAAACTATTGTCTGAAATGGAAAAGGGAACTGCCCCTATGCCCTTTCCCTCAAAACTTTCGCTTTCCCATCCCCTCCACTGGATTGGGCGCGACACGTGACCGTTGCCTTCTCATGATCCCCATGCGATTTGGTGGTCTGCTCTGAACCGGCGCCATTTTCGTGCCAAGTAGGGCAGTGACTCCGTTGCTTACGGCCCGGCCATGTTTGTTTGTTTTGTTTTTTGTACCACGACCTGTGCAGGAATGCAATGTCATCTTACTGCACTGTGGATTGTATGAACAGCATTGCAAAAGGGAAGAAGCTTTTTATCGTCCCGACAGAAAAAGAAAATCTTCAGCGACGAAGACAATGACTCCGCCGGATCGGTCGGAAAAGTTTCGACTGCCTCTGAGGGAAAGCAGTGTATTTGATGGGAAGTTAAGTGCGCAAGGCGCGCAAATAGCAGACGTCGTATATTCCTCCGTGCGCATGTAAAGATTGTATTGCAGGTTGTTATCGACATTTATAAAAAGTGTACCAAGTAAATCAAGTTCCTGGTTCGGCAAAACTATCGGAAATGCTAAAAATGACCAAAAAGTCCTGGGTTTACATTACACACAATGCGCTGTCTTTTATTTGCCCAACTCGAGTGATGCCGAGTCTGCAAATGTTCAAGATACTAAAAAAAGTTTTAGTAGAGTGTACGCTAAGGATTGCGGGCCTTGGGGACACGTGCACATGTTTAAAAGTTGAAAATTTACCCATGCAGACTATCTATGGGCGCGGACTATACAAGGATTTCTTTTTTTTCTAGATTGTTCACTGTGACAAGACGCAAAGAATTTTATCAATAATAGAGTATAGTTATGTTGATTTATGCATGATACAAGCTTTTCTTGTGAGCTATACAGCAGGCATTTGTCAAGGAGTGCTCCGTATGATCATTTTTACGCTTAGACTAGGCACTGAGTGCAGACTGTGCACGACGTGCGGACTATGCACCGAGTGCGGACTATCTAGGCAAAAACTTTTATTTTTTATACCGAATTTGCCTCTGCGGACTATGCACCGGGTGCGGATTATAGTACGGAAAATACGCCACTCGAAACTGCGTTGGCCTTTTTTTTTTTAAATCGTCCGGATTCAGCGGAATTGGAGAAGGCTTGTCTTTACACCTGGGCGACTCCAACTCTGCTCGCGCTATTACATTTGCCGATCGAGACATCTTCCTGTGCTTTACAGCTCCAATAAATGTGCACAGACGCTAGTTACTTTACATTAGAAAACAACTGTTTTCATATTTCAAAAAAAAAAAAAAAAAGATTCTCCATTTGCAATAGCAAGCAAGTACGGCCCGGTACACATGGCTGTGCCGGGCGGTATTTGTTTGCTGGATTCTGTTCCACTGTAGGAACAGAAAAGCAAAAGGAAACATGTGAGTGCCCCGAGAGCACACTATATACACCTTTCCAAAAAAACGCTCCTAGGCCGTCGCCATGTTGCTGATGCTGATGCGGCTGGTGCGACTCTCGCGCCCTCTATCAGCTAGAAATTTTCTGCCACTCTCTTGGACTGTGAAGACCCGCTCAGCGCGGTTCTCTACTTACGTATTTGCGGTTTTGCATTCAACGTTTTCTCGCCCCTTTTGAAAGTTTCCACTTCATTTTTTTTATGCGTGCTGTGTACCCTTTCTGTGTTATCTTCCATTGTGAGAAATAAGGCTGGTAAGTGCCTGCCATTCAAGCTTTTCTGCTTTACATTCATGGGAAATGAAGGAGGTGAAGGACGTCGAATGACCCTCGACGCGATTTTGCGAACACCCTGTTCTCTCCCCTCTTACAGATAATTCGCGTAAAATTCTCAGTCCTCTCCAAAAATAGTTGTCCGGGTTGGGGTGGGAAACGGGTCAGTCGTGTTCGTTCCTTTGCCTTGGTGCGGTTGTGAAAAAAGGAAGCTCTCCCCAAAACGTGCCCCAAAACAAAGTCATCTCGGATTCCATCCGATCGTCAAGATGTGACTGTCGTGGACTGTGACTGTGTTATTTGAGATCTTTCTCTAATAAATTCTTTTCGGATAACGCTGCATTGTGTGGTACGTACGATATATTGATTGAATGTTAACAATTCCTCAATTGCATATCCGTGTCCTGTCTATCGGTAAACACGTTATTTGTGAGCATGAAAAATGCAAGCCTTTCGGCCCTCTTCTGTTGTAATTTATTTTTGAGAGCAAAGCGCTTTGTCGTTTCACATGCAGCGAATCCCGCGGCGCCGTCAAAACTTATCGTAAGAAAAAACACAAATAACTAGAACTATACATTCCAGTCGCATTCATTCTTTTTTGTTCTTTCAAATGCGGTACAATGCTTCCTCAATGTCCTCGGGAAAATACATGTACTATGAAACACAAAATATAACGGGAAAAGACGAGAATTTAGCCGCTAGCAGCGTTTGAAACTGCGCCTACGCAGGCTGCGCCTTTGAAATCACAGTCCAGTAGGTTAGGGTTAGGAGGGACGCCGGTGAGAGTCCAGCCTCAAACTCAGTGACTGGGCTCGAAAATGGTTTGTTGCCCCTGGGGTCGAGTGTTTTTTTTGGAAAGGTGTATAATCTTACGTTGCGTCACCCTTGATTAGCAGCTCCCATGTTAGCTTGAAGGTTTTGAACGCGGGAATCGCGCACTGTTACAAGCTGCGAGCGCGCCACTTTCATTCCTGGTTGACATCTGTGGGGTCGATTGGTCAGTGTCTGAGTGGAGTATTTCGTTTCCATGCTCACCTTACATTTGCGGTGTCCTTTGAGTGTGCAGCTTCGCTCGTGATTCTGTTGTATACAAGCGATCTCAGATTACACCTTTGTGGTTCGCTGCTCTCATCCTAAGTATACCCAACCGAAACTTGGAGCAACAGACATTTGCCCTGTTTTTGTCAGTTTCTAGCATACAATCGCCGTGTCGCTTAAACTGCTAAAGCTGTTCACCTTGCAATATGCAATCTACAGAGCGGATTTACATTCCAACTTGTACGCGACGTAGGCTGCGTGTGATGTAATAATAAACGTAATGAAACAGATCATTTGCAACCTTTTTTTTTCTTCCCATTTTACGTTTTAGAATGTAAATTTAGAGAATGGTTCCATCTACTGCATGCAAACTAAAATTGTTTTTTGCGTTTTCGGTGGCAATAAGATTTTTAGTGCGAAATTTGTTGCGCTTGTGTAAACCCTAAAAGCAGTGTCAACTTGTCGTTCGATCGTGTTTGTCATGTGGAAGCACCAGGTACGTTGGCATTGCATGTTCGGGTGCCTCCTATTGAATTCTGTCTTAACCATATTTTCCAGTTGGATTTGCGTTCTACAGAGCGGTTTCCATTCGACAATTGTATGCGGCATAGGCTTTGTGCAATGTATTAATTAACCTATGGATAATTAATGCATCATAACTCCACTCACCGCAAAGCTATCAGGGCGGTGAAAGCTATGTGCTGATTCCGCCAGTCAACCGTCGGTCTTGCACCCATCATCATGCTCTTTACGCACACACTCGAGCAAAGAGCAAGGTCAGACAGTAAAAGGCAAGCAATGATTTGGACCGACAAACACGCAGTTGCATCGCCATGGCAGCTTAGTGGAGAACCAAGTCGTAAAGGATTTCGAAACAGGCGGACTTCTTTGCGATGATTACTCAACGCCAGCTGGTCACGGACCTCATGCCGGACTTGCTGGTCAACAAGGACTTCCCCGACTTGGATGTGCGTTAACAAGGTTTCACAAGTGAGATCATGTTGAAGTATGGTTGTAGTGCTCTACTAACATCCTACCACTCAGGAATTTTTGGTAAGTTACGTTTTCTTAGTGCAAAAAAAATCAGCGGGTCTAGATAAAATACTGCATGATTTTTTTTAAAGCGATATGCAGAGTGGCTGTCTGATTATCTTAAAATTATATTTGACAGATTATCACAGACACATCCAGCCCACTCAAAATTGGTGAAAAAAGAAACTGTCGGGCCGTGTCTTGGGGCAACTGTTGAAACCGTGTCGTCATAAGTACGGTTTAAGTTTTGTGTATTAGGTTAAGAGGCTTGCCTCTACAGGCTTCCCCTTGGAAGTTCTTGTGTGCATTGCAGAGTCCCTCGTGAGAATGTTTAAGAGGTATACTAGAAAAAAACCAAGACCATGGCTTATCCCACCGAATCAAGCGCGTTGCCAATAAGTTTAATGTGCCAGTCGTCTTCTCGGCACCATCTAAGCTGTGTCGCCTCTGTGAGTAGAGAGGGACGCCGTTCAGTGTGACACCAAACATCGCACCCGATACATTGCATGTGCAAACGGGGTTGTGCACCAGATCCCTCTGCCCCGCGGCAGGCTGTATATTGACCAGACGGGCAGATGCGTATATACAAGGGTGAGGGAACATTTTCTTTCTCTGCGTTCTCCCTCGGGGAATGGTCCAATGTACCAGGTGTGGCTGCTTGCCGTCATTCCATGACATTAAGATTTTGTTTTAACACAAAAACGAGACTGCGAGAGAGATAGGTGAAGCATATTTTATGGCGACTCATGGAGCAAACGCATGTGCAAGCGCTCCTTCCATTGCCCTCGTAGGTGACGAAGTAGATTTCCTTAAAAAGTGTGACAGGTTTGTGTGACTGTATGTAGGCGTGGCTGATGCCGCATGTTATCGGTTTGCTTTTTCTGTTATCTTCCCTCCCCCTTTTCATGTTTATTTCTGTTTTTGCGCAGCAATAAACTCTCAGTAGTAAGTGAGTGCCCCGTCTGCGTGTTTCCTCATCCCATGTTTTTTAGCGCTGTTCTTAGCAAACGAGTATGAACCACGACACAAGGGTGTCTCTCTCAAGATTGAATAAACATGTAGGACGATGATGACACAACCGCATCTTGTGAAAGATGTAATTGTGCACGCTCTTGGTCCATCAATGTCTCTCACCTGCCATGCTTGCAAGACGCTCCTCTTCAGTCAGCTGTGCCTTGGCCAGGTCTCCTCCCAAAGGGGCGCAGCACATCTCGGCACTCACGACCGGCTCTGCACCGGGCGTGGCGCCAGTCGCCGACCGCACGGCGTGGACGGTCGTGTACTCCTCGATGTTGCAGTCCTGCGTCCAACACAAGGTCACTTGGACATGTCCTAGGTGACGTCCCTGAAGCCGAGACAATGGAAGGGACGTCAAGACATGCAAAGACGAGACAGCGGTCCCCATTTCTATGCATCTTTGTTTCCCTTCCCTGTCTCGGGTTCAGCCATGCCCAGTATTCCCCAGCTTGCTTGCGCGCTCACTCTTCAGCAATACGAGGCCGTATTGCTGAATTTCTTATGTCACCAGCAGAGGACACTGCGGCGCACAGATTACACGGCCCTTGTGCGTGTGTTTTGGTAAGGGACATAGGAAGTCCAGCCTTATGGTTTTGTCATCCAGGAAGTGTTAGAAAGCAAAACCATGTACAGACCGTGCTTTTGCGGGCCTCTACATGATTTTGTATTAGTTTACTGCGCAATAAAATGTATTATCATTATATTGAGCCCGTACGTAATGACGTCACATGGCGCTGTGCTCCAAACAAATCTTGCTATGGACAAAGATATGTGTTTTTTTGTAAGCATTGTGTCTTCTGAATATTAATCATGAAGACTTTTTCTGATGTCTCAGTGCCAAAAATCAATTATAAAAGCCCGTAATAAAGTTTCCCAACCGGTTTGCCTTGCTAGCAGATGACGCGATGGCTCCTCGGGCTCAATGTTTTAGAGTGCAGCTCTTAGGCGCCCGTTTCCGGCTTGAGCTGCGCCGGCGTAACCGTAACGCGTCGGCCTAACGCGTCAGCATCACTGTCGACGGATTTGCGCAGTGCATTATGGGAAACGCCCCATAATGCAACATGCGCAGCACCGCGGTGCATTATGGGACGTTTCCCTTAATGCACCACGCGGGAGGGAGGAGCAGGAGGGGGGAGGAGGAGGACGGAAAATAAAGGAGGAAGAGGAGGGGAGAAGAAGAGGAGCACGGGAGAAATAGATGAGAAGGGAGGAGAGGGTATGGATGAGGAGGAGGGGCATACTGTCCCCTCCCCTCCTCCTCCTCAAGAGCTGCGCTCTAATTCGGCATTACAGGGAGTTGTAGAAGTCTTTCATCTTTTTTTTTTTTTTTTATAGAGAGTATGCAACTCGTTAAATTAAGTTGGGGATGAGTGATGATTCTCGGGGTTAACTTCCTGCGAGATATTGGAAGCAAAGGGGGCATGTGCACAAGTTTGATCAACACTCAAGGGGAGCGAGCGCACGAACGCACACCCACGGCGGTTCCGCATTATTTGAGAAGGATGAAAACACTGTGAAGCAAATCATGTACGACGACGACGTGAAGTGTATCAACGTCGAAGTGCAGACCAGCCAACGAGGCCAGCACATGTTTCAAGGAGTTCCGACATCACAGTTGCTTCAGTGCACATTTGTGAGATCAAATGATCTCTCCGTAACAGATATATCCAGCTCTTTTGCTATTTGGGGTCTTTCTGAAAACAGAATCAGCAGGATTCTTTTTCAGTACGAGGTTTACAAGCAGGTATGACACACACACCCAAATATAATGTTTCCTGCAAAATATTAAAGGGGTCCTGATGCTGCTTTTGTATCATGCATTAAACAGAACCTTTTCATGCTGTATTTTTAGCAGATCTCCATACATGTAATGATTTTCATCAGACGGTATCCCGTATCGCACAGAAATAAAATTAATTTTCATAAACCTGACGAGTTTTCTTAGACCTGCTAAAAACCCATTAAATACAAGTTAAAAATCATAGCATTTTGGAAACGATTCAAGCTGTTCCAGTCGGCATCCTTCAGTCACTTTGTATGTGTTTGTCGTCTGCAGCAGGCATCTCGAGATGCCTCGAGGAGCGGAAGTTTCCGTCTCAAATATTTCAGAAAGAGCCGTCACTCGGCAAACTTCTGTCGTGGCAAGTGTGAAATATAAGCTTCCTATATTTTTTTTTTTTAGACGTTTAAATTCTATGTTTGACTTTTTAACAATGGTTCTTTTGGAGTGAAATCCAGCACCATGTATTCGTCCATAGCAACACCCCTAGCAATGGTTCGTTTGGAGCAGTGGCGTCACACTTACGGGGTCGATTCCTCCGAAAGACCCCTTCCTGAGGCAAGAACGTATGACGACCGATTCGAAGCCACTTTGTACGAAGGACAAACCTCTTCTTCCTTAAATCGTTTGGAGGGCGATGGTTAAGTATGATTGTGCTGTACAAGCGTCCACATAATTAATGCTGATTTACGGTGAAATGTCCAATGTCAGAAAGCCCTAAACGTCTGATGCTGCCCGAAGCCCTGCACCTGACGTAGTACAGTAAACTCTCACTTGAGCGAACTTCAAGGGACCCAAGGAAATAATTTACTTAACTGAAAGTTAACTAAACTGAATATATTCACTAGAACACAGAACAGCATAGGGCAGAGCACAGATTGAGTCGAAAGTGTGAAATGCAATTTATGGAGTCGTGTACATCAATATATACGAAGTGCATAACAGTTACAATGCTGCCTTTCTCTTTTTGAAAAAAAAAAATCTGCAATTTTTTTTTGCACCGGAGCTCTTAAAGCGCATGAAGTAACAGAGCTGTCCAGAGAGTCTATGTTTTTCTGCACTTCCTCTGGCACAGCTTGTTGCGGTGATGAAGTCAAACTGCACAACATTGTCCATGTCCACTGGCTCGAAATGTCCCGTGCAGAGTCGTTCCTGTTGGGATAGGATGCAGTCTCTCCTTCAAGCTTCGACTTTTGCTTCACTATCGTTGACAATGGAATCCCGTAGTCCTTTGCAACGCCCACTTGCCTTTGACCGTTGTCCAGACACTAAAGGATTTTGAGCTTGTCTGATAGAGACCTAACCGCTTCCACTTCATCATACTCGTCACGGAAGGGGGTGCACAAACTGCCGTCCTGCCGTTGTTACCCAAAACTAACATGCCCGAACGGAACCAATGACAACAAAAAGACAGACCCACCACGTGGTTCGTTTTCCTCTACCGCACCGCGGCTTTGCCTCAGCGGCGCTGTAAACGCCAGCGATGATACGCCACCGCTGCAGAGGTGACGGGGTGGCGGGCATCGGCTATGCCAGCACTGCAGAGCACAAAACTTTATTGAACCGATTGCAAAAATAATCATGGGTGCGCCGATCAAGTTCGTTGAACTAAAATATTCGCCATTCCGCAATTCATTTTTCCTTTAACTGAAACATTTTTGTGTAGAATGCATAGGAAAACCTCCGGGGATTTTTTTAAAGTTTGTCATTCTGAAATATTCGTTAAGCCGACATTCGCCCAAGTGAGAGTTTATTGTACATGGCCCATGATGGACACCAACTGGTACATGAAGCAATAAATAGTTTTATAATTAAAATTTTTTTATCAAACTTTACATGAGAAAGAAAAAGACGCTTTTGGAGAGCTTTCCATACACAAAAGAGAACACATATGGTGTTCTTTCAACATACTAAAACTTGAGACTGAGGCAAAAAGGGGGACAAAAAACAATGCCTCACTGAATTTCATGTCAACTTTTTTAACTACTGTAATATAAAACTAATGTGGTAAAAGCTTTGTATGTACCCTTGTCTAGGAGTGAAGCTTTTATTATATTAATACAGCCATGTCCTTACTGTGCTCTCCCCTAAAAATCTGCGTTTTTGGCCGAATATTCAGCTATTTGAATGTACGCTCAGTTCAAGGTTACCCTTAATCGTCGACCAGATACTTACACTAAAGCCTGCCATTATTATGTGTTAACTTAGGCTGTGATCTCTCTGTGAAAGTTCTAACCAGTGCTTGAACTCAAAACACATATTCTAGATATGATTTGTGTGTGACGATCTGATAGCAACCATGCTCTATGATCACGGGTGACTAAGCTTAGCTCTAATCGCATAGTGAGGTATTTCTTTTTTCTGTGTGACGAACTGATAATAGCCTACAGTCTTGAGATATTTGTGTGTGTGACAATCATATGACAATGACCGTACGATATCACAAGTAACCAAGTGAGCAAACCTTCCGACAGGCCGATCCTAACCAAAAATAACCCATAAGACCAGTTTGACATGTCCATCCCAGGCCCCGAAAAGAGAGAGTCCGCCAAGAACCTGAGGAGGAGACAAGAGTGTGCGGGGACGTCGGAATGCCCAGCTCTTGTTGGAACGATTAGTGGGTGGTAATAATAAGAATAATCATCTTTATTTGAGGCGGAGTGTTACCCCGAGTGGCTTGCTCGGCTAGAGCAGAAAGGCCCGTATGCTTGAGCGTCTGCTAGTCAGCCACCTGGAGCAGGAGCAAAATTCTGCGATGATCGCATGACGTGATGCACGGATAGACGTTAATGGCTATACCCTTGCGCCACCTACCCTAAGTCTAAAAAGACAAACATATGATTCCTCTGGCCCCTTCTAAGCCAATTTTCTCCCCCTAAATATCACCAGGCGGCATGGGATATCACCAGGATGACCTTAAAAAAGCGGCAGCAAGGCTGTCATGTGCTTTCCTGCCAAATTTAGCGGGGAAAGCCAAATTTAGCAGGGAAACTGAATTGTTGCATAAGTCATGTGACGTCAATTTTTCCGCTACATTTAGCGGGGAAACTGTTTTGTTTACGCTCACGCCGTTGCGAAAGTGGGGAAAGGGCCACTAACATCTGCTGCTGTAAAATAACAGATAACAAAAACAACATTAAAGAGAACATTGAACACTTGGGTACACCTTAGAAGAAAATAGGGTGGCTGATTCTGTCCAGTCAGTAGGGAGGGCAAAAAAAATAGACAAACCCCTTAGGCCGGCGGGGAGCACAGCTGCGGATCTGGCTGGCCGGACAGCTTCCCTATTCAGATGTAGGAGTGAAGGGGAGTGCCCTCCCCTTCACGGGAGATCCGACCCCAGTCACAGTCGGGCGGTGCTGAAGGCTCTGTCACCCAAGAGCTTTAAGCTGCGCCTCATACGGGGGTGCAGGGGCACGCCCGCCCAGCATGTGAAAATAAAAGGTGGCTCGATACTGCACTCCTTCGAGTCTGTCGACCAGGGGGGCTATGTTCGACAAATGTTTCGTTCCTCCTATAAAGAAACGCAAGTGACAATATCGCGTCTGATTGGTTAATGACGAAAGCTCCCTCTTTCGTCATTTGAGCCTCTAACCAATCAGACGCGATATCGTCACTTCAGTCACCTCCGTTTCTTTTTAGGAGAAACAAAACATTTGTCGACAGGAGGGGTATGTTTAACAAATGTTTCGTTTCTCCTAAAAAGAAACGGAGGTGACCGAAGTGACGATATCTAGTCTGATTGGCTATAAGCTCAAATAACGAAAGAGGGAACTTTCGTCGTTTGAGCCTCTAACCAATTAGACACAATATCGTCACTTACGTTTCTTTTTAGGAGAAACTAAACATTTGTCGAACATAGCCCCGCTGGTGTGCCTGGAGTGGGCACCATACATAACAGTACTCAAGCCCAGACAGTGCACGAAACCTTTAAAGGGATACTTCAACGAAATTTGAAATATTCCCGTCGTGTTCAATAATGGATTGATGATCCACAATACCCGTAAATGACAATCGCACGTTTGTATTTTGAGACTGGTGGCTGTATTTTTCGTTATAAACGGCCCACTCTGGCAAGCGCTCGGAGAAGACCCAGCAGAGACCACGCGACATCCAATGCAATCGTCACGTAGGTTGTCTCAGGACGAGCAAAGCTACGGCGAGGCTGACGCCGAGAGGATGGCCTCGTCGTTCCAGCCACCGAAGCGTCTGCTTTTGTACGAATTTTGAGAGACGGGTTAATCTTCTATAATCTTCTAGGGAGGAAATAGCGACTGCTGCGACACACAAAAGGCATTCTCGGGAAGAGAGTTCCTCCTTCCTTTCTTCTCTCGTCGTGGCCGGAGGCAAGATACTCACCGTCACTAGCTGTCAAGGTTCCTAGACGGGCATTACAAGCGAGGCGTTAGCGACATCCACCAGGTGCTTTCTGCTAATTGTTTAATTTGTTTTAAAATTCCTTTTCGTGACTTTTTAAACAAGATATTGGTATGTTCCATGTGATACTGCTCCTTTGAACACATATAAACCAAAAAATGAGCGCCGAAATTTCGTTGTAGTATCCCTTTAACAGAGTCGAGCTGGGTGTGCTTTTGAAACATTTTTTATGATGTGACCTAAAGCTCCCTTTGTCTCCACCCGTAGAACGCGCCAGAACGCGGAACGCCGGCGTTTGGCTTTCGCATTCGAATACGTTCGACGAGTTCAGTGGATACAAAGGGTCTATCCCCTAATTATTCGAACCAGAGCTTTGCTAGGTTCTTGCCTTGAAGTAGGCGTCATCGCGGAGTTCCTTTCCAGCAAATATGACGCGCAGCTCTTGGACAGGGACGTCGAGCTGGCAAGCCAGGCGCTCCTTCATGGCCCTCACGGTGCAGTCGCGCTTGACAGTCACTGAGATCGCCAGGTTGGTGGAGAACTTTACGTTGATCGTCACCTCGTCCATGGCCACGGGCGGTGGAGGCCACCCTCGTCGCAGAAAAGCCAATGGTCTCTGGAAAGTCGATGCCAGGACGTACAGCACCCATCGCAGAAAGGAAGCCGCCATGCAGCGATTGTTGTTGTTGGCCTTGTTGGTGCGACTCCGACTGGTGTGTTTACCGTTTACCTGTTTACCCCATGGAGAATAGAAGGGTTTCTAAAGTTTCTAACCTCCTTGGTAGCCGTGTCCAAAAAAAGTCTACCTCACAGTGGTCTACCTCGTTGAAAAAAGTGGTCCCTCGATTTCCGCCTGTTTTGACAATTTGCTGGATCCTGCAGCAACCCATTAATTATTTATCATGTAAAACAAAACAAAACATTCGCCGCAAACACGTATTAGTTTTTATATTACAAGAATGTTTGCTTTTATTTGTGTTTTCTACCTCGTTGGTGTTTCCGAGTCTGCTCAAAATGATAGTTCACAACACAGCCGACACAGCACTGAATACGACTGCTGCGCCCCGATTTCCGAGGGTAGCGGCGAATGCGTGAACCTGCGTGAACCAGGTCTGGCGTAGGTGACGTAGGCGAAGGTTCAAAAGCGCGCGGGCGGCGCGCAGTGCATCTGGTAGTTTGAAATCAACCACTCTCTTCTTGTCTGTGTCAACTGTGTTCGGAACCTTTTGGAGCTCGACAAGGTTGCGGTAGGCTCACCTGTCCGTACCACTCAAAGGGTTGGCTTAAATCCTCTTTCGTACGTACCGCGTACTCGTTGAAAACCTCGAGAAAATGGGTGAGTCCTTTGCTGTGGCTGTTGTCATTTCGTGCTGTCTGTCTATGCTGGGTGCATGGAAGTCTCGCGGCTGCCAGAGCTGTGAGCGTAGGCGTATTCCTGAACACGGGCGTTCGCTTCCCTTCCATCTTTCGGGAGCGACCTTGGTAAGTAATTTTAGCAAACCGTTACCGTGTTCGGCGTTCCGCACTGACGGAGCCTTTGAAGCATGCTTTTAAGCGCCTTTTCTGCACGTCGTCAGTCACGTGACCACAGGGATCGCGTGACCACCTTCGCTCCCCAAGAAACAACTTTTCCCGAAATATGGATTCTGTCCTCAAACGAACATATTCGACAAGTCTGAGTTGGAATGGTCGATTATTGCAGTCTAATGAAGAAACGGAGTTAGACTTGACACATTTGGCTGGCTCATGGTTGGATGGATATTTTCTTTTCTTATACATATCCTTATAACACAAATCTTTTGTTTGATGTTTTTCTTTTACAACACTGTTGTTTAGTTGGATTTTTTTTTTATCATTATAATTAACTTTGTTATCCGGAGTCTGCACACAGCAATGTGCTCTTTTTCATCATCATTGAAAGTGCAGCCCTCTTGCACTCTGGGCGCAAACTTATGCTAACCTATTTTTATATATTTAAATGGCATACGAGAAGCTGAAGTGGTGGTAGGAGACGAGCCAGCGGTGATTTCTGGCGTATTTCCACCCTGTGAATATGAATATCGCAAGAATTTGACCCGAAACATATTAACTGAAGTGAGAAAAACCAAGAAAACCAATCGCTGGGTGCGACGTCATACCCAGAGGCTTCAGCCAACATTACTAGATTACCTCAGTTTTAGAACTCCCGCGGAAGGGGGCCCCTCCCCCCCTCACATCAGTCCGCCTCCCGTCGTTTGATGCGCCGTCTAGATTGTTGTTGCAAAACTGTGCATTCTATAGAGCAGTGGTTCTCAGATGGGGTTCTGCAGACCCGACGGGGTCCATAGAGCCATTTTTGGGGTCTGCAAAGCCCTCGCCTCAACTTTAACCCACACCCCTCCGTTCTGAAAAAAAAAAAAAAAATATTGTTCTTTGTTATCTCTGGCTAGGTGGTGCAAGCTATCGCCCATTATAAAGGGTGAAGCCGTTACAATCAGAGCTGTATTCGCCTCAAGATCGAACCGTGTCGCCACCGTGCGGCCGAAATTGGAAACGCGCGAAAGCGGGGATACCGCCGTGCGTCGTCTGCTACGGGTGCACGCTCAGAGCATGGATCTCGACGACGCAAGCCCGTTTGAGGCTGAGCTTGACATTCCTTATTAAATGTTTTATTTTTTTGTTGCCGTTTCTTCTTACTAAAGGTTGTAGTGTATCGTTTCTCATGCGTAGAAATTCAGCAAAGCGATTATTATTAAGTCGGAACCTTCCATAATCTTAGTGCGTTGGTTTGTATACAATCGCTGGCCCCACGTATTTTTATCTCGCACAAACCGTGGCTTCCACAAAGCATTGAATGTTGAGTCGATCTGTGGTTTGATTAGAAAATTAACCCGACTGATCGCTATATTTTAATAGACAATCAATCCATAAATCCGTATGTTGATTTTTTGCCGGTAATATGCGTGAAAGGCGTTAAAACCTCATTTTTTTACTGGTTTTACTATGTCATAAATGACATATTGCATTCCCATTCTAAACTTCACGTTGTGACTCCTACAGAAATATGAACACGGGAAGCCTCTTAAAGTGAAATATTTTTTAAATTATTATTTAAACGGTATAATCACCCTCGGTGAAATGACAAGCACGCTGAAGTGGTTTACCGTGCAAGCCTGTCACAAAAGAAATAAAGACGTCAGAAATATTAAAGCAGGCATTTTTTACTCCTTGTTGACTTTCTCCAGCACAAAACTCCAATTAACTCGCAAAAAAAAAAAAACTGCAATTAAAGCATTACTTGAATAATCTGAAAGTTAATCGATGAACTGCCCAGTCCCGATATACGCTAGGTGAAAGCAGAGGGTGATTGCAGAGTCTCGTGAAGGTCGAGCCCTCGTCAGTAAAAGAGTATCAACGCTGCCGATGCTGTCTGTGTCGTGGTGCGCGTAGTCTGTTGGGGTTGCAGAGTCTACTGTGTTTGATGCAAGAAAATTTATAGTATTAGCCTCTTGACATCCGCGGCTCTCGCCAAGAAAATTGAAGCGGGTGAACCCACACTACCGAGAAAAGCATTTAATAACAGTAACATTGCTGCGTTGCTCGGTTGCACCCGTTTATTACAGTCACGGCAGATATATTACAACAGTTTGTTTCACTTGTTTCAGTTGTCCTGCCAACCGTGCAGTTTGCAGGGGGGCTATGTTCGACAAATATTTTGTTTCTCCTAAAAAGAAACGTAAATGACAGAAGTGACGATATCCCGTCTGATTGGTTAGAAGCCCAAATGACGAAAGAGGGAACTTTCGTCATTTGAGCCTCTAACCAATCAGAGGCGATATCGTCACTTCTGTCACTTCCGTTTCTTTTTAGGAGAAACGAAACATATTTGTCGAACATAGCCCCCCAGATCTTAACTAGAAGAGACGCACCTTCCTCATCGCAACGCAGTAGATTTGTTCAGACTCCAAAAAAAACTTACCCACACTATGGCACAGTAAAAGGGCAGAGGAACTCAATAGCATAGTAATTTCCAATACAGCGCTAACTTATCTTCCTTTTAAATAATTATATTACTGGAAAAGCTAGAATTTAAAAAACAGCATAGAAGCTGCGATTTCACAGCCCACAGTACCAGTATTATGTTATCTGAATTGGAATTTATTGTTTCTTTTTTAATTCCCACGTTGATGAACCGATACACCCATTCTAAAAAAAACAAATATTTAACATAAATATTCCAGTTCATCCGGAGACAAGCATCAGTCGTGATCCATGCTTTCCAACGTCTGCCTAGAGCAGACGACGCACCCACAGAAGCGATTATATAAATTTAGGCCTCACGCTGGCAACACGATTCAATCTTCACTGAAGCGCCAAACAGTACCGCATCCTTTTCCGCTAGAATTGTTTTACCACCGATAGTATGCGACAAAATAAACGCAAGAATCTGCGCCGTCTCGCGCGCGAACGGGGAGAGCCTGTGGGGCGGCCGTTCTCCTATCCCCGCTTTGATGATGATGATAGCGCGACCGTAACGCCACCTCTAGGTCAATCTCGAGGCCAATATGTAGACAGTGTGGCCATTCATTGGGAAGTATAGGAGACAATTCAGGAGGCGCCATTGGCCGAAAGCGGGCTGGGCTTGTTCCAGCTCGTCTTCACAAATTTGAATGTGGCCAACCAGAAGCCGGAAATAATTCGAAAGTATAGGAGACAAATCAGGAGGTGCCATTGGCCGAAAGCGGGCTGGGCGTGTTCCAGGGCGTCTTCATGAATTCGAATGTGGCCAACCAGAAGCCGGAAACAATACCCTGGGGGTGGTCACGAAAAACAAACTTAAAAGTGCATAGGAGTAACTCTTGGTAACTGAAAATCTGCCGTCCGAGCGGTTAAACTCTGTCCGAGCAAAACAGAGTTGAGCGGCACATTCGTTTCTTACATCTTTCTGCATGATTGTGATCAAAACATCACATGCACCCTATTTTTAACCATGAAGGGTTACTACATTTAACTCTTATGCGCTTATTAAAACCATATACCTATGATTTCAGCTGTTTCTCGCTACCACTTCTAGAGGATTCTTTTCGGCTTCTTGTTGACCAAGAGAGCATGTCAAGCCCTCTTTCTGCGTCTGGTGCACGCCCTGCCTCTGCCCAGGCCTCCTGTTGACCAAACTCTCTCTATATACGGCTCTGGTTACATCTATCCATCCATTCATAGTTTTAATTGATGCTTCTCACTTCTGTTTATAACAGCTAAAAAAATGCCCACCTCACACTGCAGTTAGTTCGAGGGGTCCCGGACACGGTCCATGCTTGAGATCCACCGCTATAGAGCATGGTGGAATGCCATCTAGACACTGTGCATCATAACATATGCCATCCATAGAATACACTGCAGTTACCATAGAAGCTGTCATCAAACCGGAGGCGCGTCGGACGAGAGGCGAGCCATGGGGGCGGAGAGGGTGGTACTGCTTGTGCAAGCAGCGTCTATGGGCAGTTCTGTAATTGAGCTAATCTAGTAATGTTTGTTTCTGCTGACTTGTGCTTTTGACTGTTTGTGAGGGAATGCTTGCAGTGCTTTTGACTTTGCAGATCTCTGTACATTATGTCACAAGTCTCTCCTCCCATCGAATGTGCCGGGTAGGAGGGGCTTCAGCGGTATTTTGGAAGTGCTGTTGTGACTTCTTGGCGCATGAATTTGAAATATAATTTTGATAGTCTTGATCCCGGAGGCGAACGAAGATGATTTAAGTCTTTTTCCTCAAACACAAATCCGCTTCAGTTTCCCTTTAATGCACAAAGTCGGATCTTTTATAATATCAAAGTGCCTCTTGCCTCAAATGTTTCATAATTGCAGCAGCGAGTTTCCTCTGTTGTGGTTCGTATTGACACCAACGGTTTGTTTTGCAATGACCAAACAGCTTGTCTGCAACCCTGGAACTGCCAGAAAAGTTGCCTCATTCAAAATCCTTCTAAAAGGCACAGGTCTTGCATTAAGCCTGAAATTGTTGGTATTGAGGTGGCAGTTAATGCAGCTGACGTTTGAGTCTTGGCTGGTCATTACAGAGAATGCAGCTGTCGTTGTTTGCTCTTCAAGAGTGAATTTTGTAGTCCACTGCAATCCACCGACAGAACTGCAGGGTGTTACACACCCCTCACTTCTGTCGGTGCAAATAATACCCTGGCGGTGGTAATGTGCAAAATTTGGTGCTCAAACACATTATAAATGCGATCTAAATGGGGCAAGTTAGTGAAGACCAGGAGTAAAAATTGCCAGAAAAATGCTCGGGACCGTGTCCTTAGTTCAAGGATACGGTCCCGAGAATTTTTCTGGTCCCCATTTCTGCTCTTGGTCTTCACTAACTTGCCCCATTCTGAACAGATTTATCATTTCGACAGCCGACCAAACCGCACAAGTAGAGTCACATTGTGTTAGTAGCTTCATGCTTTTGTAAGGGCACGAGTAGGCTAATTTTCTGTGCACAGGTTTTTGATGAATGCGAGAAATGTAACAGTTAAAAGAATGAGGGATTGCTACCCTATATTTTTGGCAAACGTCTCGACAGCAGGTCAGTCTCGTCTGTTTTTGTAAATTCAAATGTTAGCATGCAGTAGTATGTTCAAATTTCTGATGAAGCCCCAAATAAAATTTCAGCATAAAGTGGAGGGCATGATCTGTGCCAACGGATCATGCCCTCCATTTTAAAACTGATTTGTAAAATTTTGGGGGTGGGGGAGAGGGGCTCGGTAGCCAAGTTTGCGTGCGCTGCAGCTAGGAGCCTGTAGCTAGGAGCCTGTGAAGCGATGGTTTGTGATGCACAACCCAGGGATCCTCGATGCAGTTGCCACCGCTGCCCATTTCGATCCAATGAGCATCGTACCGGCGTGCTGTGTGAAGCACGTTCAAGACCCCAGGCTGGCCGTGGTGCTGCACTGGCTAAATGTTAGGTCTACAGTATTGCACACTGGACGCCCATTGGGAACGACCAGCTTCCGGCTATTTAAACATACACACAATGCAGTGAATTTGGAAAAATGCTAATCCAGCTTCACTTTAATGCCCCGGTTTGGTGCTTCTAAAGCCAAAGATCTTTGCCTTTGAGAAAGATGACTCTTCTCATTGAAAGGTGCAAGGCTTATGTGGTGCAGTGAATTTGATTAGCTTTGAGTAGTGCCTTTGACAGCGAGCGACCCTTCTGCCCTGGACAGACCACAGGTTCCTACTCGGATGCATGGAAGGAAAGGCTGCACGTCTGAGGCAGTTTGATGAGACGGCCAACCAGGTTGTGCGGAGGATTGAGCAGACTTCGGCCTTGCTGGAAGAGAGGTGATGCTGTTCCTCACCGGCCATGTTGTCGCCCTCTCATTGGACAAACCCCTAGCAAGTTGTGCTGACAAAAAAATTTACTGTCTCTTCGGCACTTTTTAAAGACGTTCTAAATGCATAGCCTTTCTAGGGTCTCCCCTCGCTTCTCCTTTGGCTGGCACAACAAGGTGAAGGCTTTATGAACATAAAAAGCTGTCACACACAGACGACATCCATCTCCTTGGATGTCGTCTGTACACTTGATGGAGCGTAACCAGTGATGTGATTGCTGCGCCAAACTGCGCCAAGGGGCTAACCCTGCTACATCCTGCTACATTTTGCCGAAGTATAGGTAATCTGCGCCAAGCCTGCGCCAAAGGACCAATTTTGGTCGCCTTTGAAAACAAACTTTTTTGAGTTCCGTAATTGAGCACACATGAGCTAGGTGGCACAAGCGGCCGCCCAACACAAAGTACCCTGCATCAGTCGTTCATCCGGTCTTGCATGGTTTTTCCTGCCGTCTCTTGTCTCGCGTCTTTTTCAACTTTTTTCGACGATAAACGCCGGCGTGTCCGGACGCTCCAACGCTAGCGTTTTGGGTACCAGCCATGCCGTCATGCTGTGAAACAAAACTATGTTTTTGCGCGGCGGGAGTTACTTTATGAGCTGAAGCACCCGCTCCTAAAAGCAACGGCCATGGCCAAGCTATATTTGGTCCCTGCCTGCCAGTCACCATGGTCGCGCGACGTCGGGTCGCTGCAGATACGACGTGGGGACGTTGAATATGGTGCTTTCTAAACGTAGGACTGCCGCATGTTCAATACGCTACTACAAAAATCCCTTTAGCTCAAAGACTCCTGTGTCGAAGTATTGATTACCTAGGTTTCTCTCGGTAGGCTTTCTTTTGAGACGAACCCCGGTATGTGAAAAGTCTGCCGCGAAAGAAAGTTGAAGAGAAGTGAGCTAAAGCAGAGAAGGCAATGTCTGCACGCTGAACCCGCACAGCGCGCTTGTTTGTCTCGAGTTCAGTCATTGCGCAAAGCGCTCCAGGAACTTTTTGACCCTGGCTCGCGAAGTCTAGCATCGAAGCGCTCATGGTCTTTTTTTTTTTTTTCTGTGTGTTTAGCTTGTACCTCGCCTGCCGGCCTGGCAAGCACGTGCAGCTGGACTGTTTTTTGTCGTATGCTGGACAGTTTTATTTTGCATACAATTTTGGGAACCAGTTGGCAACGGAGCGGAGTGGCATGGTCGCATGGTTTCGATCGAACAACCATCTTCGCTTGCGCGTCAATTTCGCATTGCACGGCAGTAACGTTTTGTAGCTTGAGGTACACTGGCCGAGGTTGAGCAGTTTCGCGTGGCTCGCATAATAAGCCATGCTTCGTGCTGCACGTGCGCGAGGAGCAGTGACGTCGCACAGCGCACAGCTGGTGCGCCGGAGCCGCCGCGCCCGCTTCGCCGGTCTGCGCATTCCAGAGGAGTGTCGTCATAGCTGCGGCAGACGCACTGGCGCCGCCGCGTGCCCAGCTGTGCGCCTCCGTTGCGCAGTAGCCAAGTCTGACGCTGCACCGGAGCCGCTTGATAGCGCCTCCCATTTTGTGCTACGTATGTCCTGGCATAGCCGAGCTAAGCCACCGCAATTTTTTTAATTTTTTCATCGGTTGGAGACTACTTCCATTTATTATATTACTATACTCGGCGACAACTTTTCTTGGCAATGCAGTGGAAGGTACGTCCCGCGTCCCCTCTCCCATTCTGAGTGTACGCAGGCTCTCCTCCTCCCCCCGGAGAGCCTGCGTACACTCAGAATGGGAGAGGGGACGCGGGACGTACCTTCCACTGCATTGCCAAGAAAAGTTGTCGCGGAGTATAGTCAACCTAATGCTGTGATATTTACTACTCAGCTGGTCATTTTCAAATAAATTTTAGTATGTGCACTTTGGTTCTTATTTACCTATAGTGGGTACATATATACATTGCAAAATGTGTCATGTCATTGGCATTTCAATTGTCATGTCATTGGCAATTGGTTTATTGCAACAAGCAAAGTGTCCTTTGTTTGTCCACCACTTGAAATGAATATTTTTAGTTCTCTAAGAATATCTGCTCGAAAAGCCACTTTTGCTGCTCCGAAACACTCTTTTGGCTGCTCCGAAAGGTGCTCCAAAACGGCTTGGGCCAATCACATCACTGAGTGTATGTCTTGAAGTCTCCAAAGATGTATACCTTTCTTGCAGAATGTTTATAGCAGGGGTGGCCAGAGTGATATGTAGTTAGAGCTGCAGACAAAATTCAAAAGTTCAGAGAGCCACAGGAAAACAAAAAGGGGGGGGGGGGGGCTACATTTAACGAGAAACGATGTGGAGGGAGCGGTCCTTTCCAAGTGGGACCAGTATAATTGTTGAGTTACACCAGGCAGCAGAATGTTTCTTCAACCGCTAAGCAAAAATGAATGCATGGTTCTCTACCCAGTCACTGCCCCTGACGCCCATTATATTTGTACGGTTCAAATTTATTTCTGGAACAATAAAAGAAACGGGCTCATGGGACACATCAGTCCAGCTTTATATATATAGCGTAGTACAAGGCTGCAAAGACAGTTTTTTTTTTAATTCTATAACTCTTTTTGTTTTGGGGACACAGGAGGGGAAGGGGGGGCGGGCAGGCTTACCAGGGAGCTGTGAGCCGCACTTGGACTCGTAAAGAGCCGCACGCAGCTCGCGTGCTGCAGTTTGGCCACTCCTGGTCTCTAGCATCATTGTAGCATTGTTCTGTTAGTTTGTCATCTGTATCCGACAATTTTTTCTGGATGTCTCAAAGTCTTTCCATAATGATGTTGAGTTCACTGCTGGCAGCTCGAGAACCCTGCTGGCAAGCGTTCTCGGCGCCATTTGTCACCTTTGTCGCCCGAGTTGGAAGAACTTTTTGCTTGGACTTGACACATTCCATCTCCTTTTGAGAACTCGTGCCAGACCTGGCCCAGTCTGTAGTCAAAGATTCCATTAAAGATTCCGGTCGGTAGAGGCTGCGGATACCTTCTCCCGGGTTTCGGCACCAAAATATAGTGAAATAATATTTGCGGGAGGCCGACAGAGTAGAAAGAAGGGCCGTCTATTATGGCGTGTTGAGCAAGTGGCCAGTTGGCAATCCTTTTCATTGTCTTCAGTACACACACGGTTCCTTCACCTTTAGTTTCTAGAGGAATGCTTGGGATCTTGCTAATGCAGGGCTCTAAGCAACACAATGGAGCCGTAATACGATCTGCACGGATGGCGGTAGCTTTTCTATAGCATGGATATCGGAAAGTACCATTGTCTTTTCTTTTTTGCATTAAACTTCATAAATTTTTTATATTTAGGCTGTAGACTTTCTATTCTTTACCAAATGACACCGATAAACATGCACTCGTGTCAACAATACAAAATCGGTTAAAATCGAAGAACGCAGATTTCTGAAAAAATTTGCTTCAAGCAAAAATTTTTTTTTTTTTTTTTAAGTCTTTTTTTTTTTAGGCATTAATCTGGTACATGCTCTTAACCAGAATCAGGGACCCTACTATTCCTAAGTTTTTGGAATCGCTGACCTAGGAGGATAGTTGCATGAGGGTTAGATGAGCTAGTCGGTCGCCGCTGATTGTCATTGTGCCTTTGTCCTGTGCAGGTCAGAGCTGGACGACAGTGTTCAAAACTGCACTGGCGGTCGTTATCGGTTAGATCTTGCAAAAGAAACGAGAACAACTTGCCCTGCTCGCAAAGCATTTTACTCGAGGAGAATTTCATTTTTATCGCATGGAAAAGGTTAGCACGGTACGAAGTAAATAAAAAGCTCCAAATGGATTACGTTAACGAGTGCTCAAATTAAGTACAAAACGAGCGTGTTGGTAACATTTATTGTTGTCCGTCCCCCTTTCTATGTATCTTCCTCATGTTTGAGTTGTCAGACTTTGACCATTGTTCAGGCTCGTCCGTCGTTCGCGAGTGCTGTCAAATTATGGAAAGTGTGGATCGTTTTAATGGTGTATACAAATTGTAAATGCAATTCAAACTCTTAGCTTCAGGCACAGAGCCAGATAGCCAGAGGGGAGGCCCATGGGGCCCGGGCCCCCCCCCCCCCCCCCCCCCCTCCCCCAAAAATCTTACATTTTGCTGGGACCTTCTCTCCCCCTCTCCCTCATACAGCATTTTGTCATGGGCGGACCTCCCCCGAATCAAAATCCTGGCTACGTGCCTGCCTAGCTTTGATTAGATATTTTCACCGACAATCACTGCTTTTGGTGCGTGTATGAAACAAATTGCCGAAATGCACCTATTTATAAAAAATGAGCACCGCAAAACATCGGTTGATATTTTTTTTGTTATAAATAAACACTGGAAGATCTAAGGTGTCGCCTAGCCTCAGTGAAGGTCTAGCTGTAGGCTGTAATGCCTTTATCGGGTAGGTGGGAAAATGGGTAGTTGAAGAAAAGACACGCTGGCATCATAAATTTATTCATTGCAAAAATTGGTGTATGTAAACGGAACTGATGCCTGTTGCATGCTTCATGGACATAGTGTTTATTCTGAGTACAAGGTAGCCAGATGAAATGGGTTACGTTTTCTTAAAGGAAGATATTATGGTTGCCTCAATGTACAAACTACAGTTTAGTTCATTGTTCCGTTTCTTTTTTTTTAAATTGTGTTTCAGAAAATTTGCTTTTTTCATTGGCCTTTTGCTCGAACATGTCTGATGAGCTAAGCTATTGGAACAAATCAATATGTGGAGCAATGCTTGCTTGCCAGTTTATAACTTTCTTTTTATAGTTGAGTTCCTAAAATTTTCTTTCAGGAAAGGTCTCAATGTTTGAGCTAGAAACTTGATGTGGCCTGCCCACAAAGGTGCACACAGCTACCCATAGCACTGTTAGGAGAGCTGTAAGGGGGCACGCTTCATGCTTGGATGTTGTAGTTGAATAAGAATGGTGGCTCGGACTGCTTGTGATCAGATACTGCACTCTTGTTTCGAGAAAGTGTTGCTAGATTCTACCGATACATTTCAGGCTAAAAGACGTGGTCCAAGAGGCCGGAGCAAAGCCAGTGGTAAGCTGAAGACCGATCTGCTTTAAATGCGCTTGAGGTACATGGAACATTTTTTGTAGGCTTTGGTCCTGGAGGAAGTACAGGAGACGGCAAAGAAGGTAGCATCAGTCCCGTGCTTCGGGTAAGCATCGACAGTGCTCCAGTCACTGCTCATAGATGGTGGGAGGACCCTTTGTCTCAAGAGCTCAGTTGTTTGACAGCTATGCGCATTGTTCTTTATGCCTGTGCTTTGAATAGGTGGCAGGTAATTTATTTACCTTTGCCCATCAGGCTCCGAAGCCGCAAAAACCCTCTGTCGGTTCTTTCTTTTTTTATTCGTTTAAAATTACCCATCCACGTTGGTACCATTCACTTGTGAATTTAAAAGCAGCATTGGGTTACTGAGACAACCTCTTTTTTTGTTTTGCGTGAGCTCTACATTTGGTGAACCTGACTCAAGCAAGAGCTTTGTAATATTTTGTGACATGTGAAACAGCCCAAGCCAGTGCGCATTGTGGCAGGCTTTTGGAAAAGAGGCGGATTAGCATTGGTGTTTCCTTCGTTTGACAGGTTTGGCTGGCACTGTCCCCGGTCTTGCTTCTCAGTTCTCTACAAACATTGCTCACCGAGGAAGTTATAAGCCTAGGGAATTTCGGGAATGGACTTCTCTTGTTCGAGTCTTTTCCCAAAACGTTTCTCTAATAAAGTGTTTGCTGTTCTTCAAACTTTATTCCAAGTTCATTTTATAAAGAATGACAAGTGGCCTGCTGCAATTAGTTGTCTAGTGCCCTCTAATCGCGCTTGGGAGTGGCGTCACTGTGGTTGTGAGCACATAAAAAAGAAGCAAGAAAGCTCCTTCTTAGTGTAGCAGATTTTCTTGTGGCAGTTGCCCTTGCACAATGTTAATACTCCACTACTTTGAACTACTGGTAAGAACTGCAGCCAATCTCCACAACCCAGAGACCATTTGATGCACATGATTGTGGGACCATAGGGGCTCTTTCGTGTAGGTGAATAAAAGCAAGATTGTAGCCTTTGAGGATTTGCAGAGGCGTTGACACGCTGTGCGATCGGGCTATATGTTGACAGAAAAGGTTGATGAAGTTGCTGAAGTAAACATGCGTTCCGGCTTAGGTCTCGTTGACACTCAAATATGCTGTCGAGAGAACCTACGCAGTCACATGTAATAATGTGTTTTCACAAATTGATGCTGAATGGAACAAAGCTTCTTAATAGTTTTTAAAATGTTGCCAGTTTTGCTTAATTGTTTTTCACAGGACCAATTTTTTTGCAAATTGTACGCAATTTGCAAAATCAACAAAAATGTGTATTTTGCAGAAATTGAGTCATTTACAGTGTTTTACCACCAATTTTTCTTTTGCGTTACATTGAACTGCAGGTCCAGCAAGGAAGAATGTTGCTCGCAAAAATCGTGCGCTGATCCCCTTGATGAAGCAATCACGGTAAGCAACATGGTACACGTGGTGTTGTTAATGAGAAGCGAGTCCTGTTGTGCACTGCATTCTTAGTTATTATTCCAATTGTAGTCAGACATGACATGTAATTTGTGCTAGCACTTGCACGAGTGAATTTGTTTTTTATACAATGCTATGGTAGTCCCGCCTCGGATTTTGCTTTGTTTCACTGTTGTAGAGGACACTCAGTCAATTCAAACACTGCATAACATATCTGGATCTATAGCCTAGGGTATTTGGCGGGGGCAGATTACAGGTTAGGCTAGGGGGGATCTGCAGAGATTCTATGTTGTGGACGGATGTGACGTCATGGACGAACCATTGCCCAGATCTATTTGGTTGACCTTACATTTACCATTTCGCCAAAAACGGCATTTCTTCCATAAAACGCTTGTATATTCCTTATTTTTTAATATGTTGACCTTGAAGCTCTTGGGGGAAGCAGTTGCACTCCTGCCCATCCCCTTTAATCTGCATAATCTTAGTCACGGTCTCTGAAGGTTCAGGTTGAGTAATGACGATGCTAGGCGCAATACTTTTGTCCCAGTTTCTCGTGTGGGCCACCAGATGGCAGCACAGCCAAGGCCTACGCAAGGCTGTCTGCTAGGCACAGAGCGAAACGTTGAGCGACTGCAACAGAGCTTTGCACGTGTTGAGCCAAACGGAACAGTTAAATGTGGCACTTTTATGGGGCTAGGATATTCCTGATGTTATATAACAAGGGTCTCGGACACACGGCCCGCAAGGATCTCGCGACTGCGAGCCCGCGTTCCCATGCCTCAAGCGCCACGTCTGGCATAACTAAGTTTCATATCGTCGATTCATTTTCGCTCAAAAAGGAGCTCTGCTCATATAATGTGTTCACACATTTTGCACTCTTCTGTGTTCTTTTGGACGCAGTATTACTTTGTGTAAATATTTGTTTCTCAGTCGTTTTCCATGTACATCAGCCGGAATGCCGAAACCAATTCTAGGCTACAAGGGCGAAGTTTTTGTTCAAGGAGGCACCTCGGCTGTACGAACCACGACCAACTCTGTACGAACACGTGCTGAGCAAATGCAACCCTCAAAGATAAAGCGATAAGCTTTTAGCTGTTAAAAACATACTGTCAAAATGCAAACATTTTCTTATAATGCTGCAATAAAAATTGTGTGGAAAACAAAAACTGCAGTTTGAAGAGATTTTTTTTTCTATGCTTCTTGAGCATAGTGAATGATGAGCAACAGGTAAAGACGTTGTGCTTGCTCTCATTGTATTGAAAACTGTTTGTACAGTAGTGTTTCAAATCTTCTTATAACATCAGGTGTGGGACCAAGGTAGTCATATATGCAAATGAAAAATAAAGGTGGCAAAATGTCGAGCTTGCAAAGAGCAGAAAGCACGAAGTTCCTTCTCTAGAAAATCTCTGGGGTGTTGCTGGGACGCTCGGGTGCTTTGCGACGTAAAACACCACTGATGTACTATGTTTTTTTGTTTTTTTTTGTCCCAAAATCCCCCCATCTTTTCAGCGGTGGGCTATCTGGCTCCTCACTCGAATGAGTTTGAGATCAATGTTATATAAAGTTCTTAACTGTTCCAAAGAAGGGCTTCTGGTCGGTGTCATTTTCAGACTTTGTGCATATGCATTGTTCCTTACTGAAGTGTGTGTGTGCTAGGCTGCTGAGACGTTGTTCTGGGCTGTAGTAAACATACCGGAGTACTCGGAGCTCGGGTTTAAGGGCACTATCGCCATGCAAGCTGCTCCAAGTCAAGCAAATGACACTCAAGTCCTGTCCGGGCGGCAGCATGCTACTATTGAGTAGGCTCTGATTCCATGGCCGGCGAAACACTTTTTTCTTTTCACAAACAAATCTACTATTTGGAAGAGAAAAAAAAATATCAATATTAGTGCTATCTTTTAAGTGATATATCCGCATGGAGCATACTTACGCACTAATATATAAAAAATACTTTTGGGTGTCAAGCTTAATTGTTTCAGTGGAGGTGCTAACAGGGAGGACTCTGTGAATTTTACTTATGGCACAGACACGAGGCAGAGACTTGGCAGAGATACTATGCTTCCATCTACATGTTGCCGATATAGTTTATCATCATGTTTGTTTAACATAAAACTTGTTTGCTAACAAAATTTATAAATTGCACACTCTTTTAAAGGTGATTTACCCGCAATTTATTTGTAGGCTTTTCTTCGATAGATGGTGCTGATTTTTTCCAGAAGAAACTATTTGCTCTAAGCTGCGTATGCGGCTCGCAGTTGGCTCGAGCCACGGGCTGTTCGCTGTTGACCTTGGCATTCTAGATTTTGTTCCCAGGGCACAAGCCAGTCGGATCGTAGAACTGCATGGTTCTGATTTCGGACTGATAGCAGGTTCAAACTATTTATATCTATTTAGTGAACACCACCATTGCTGATTGTCAAGCTTGGCGCAGTATGGCCATAGTAGCTTTGCGCCATAAAGCCCGTAATCAGCAACAACCATTGCTGATTGTGTTGTGCGTTGGTTGTTCACGCTGGTTGTCTGCGTTTTCACTTGCGTAGCATCATGACTTATATAGTCGCCAAGACAACTGACACCCCGGTCGTGCGTAGCGAGCTTCTTCGTGCATATTTTGTATCCTGCATTTTACTGTGGCCTGAAGCACTTCTTCCCCATTGTCGTTTGTGTCTGGTAGCCTGAAACCGGCCAGAAACGAAGTGATAACTGCAGAAAACAGCGCAGTGTTACAGCCTTGCAAACGCTGTTACTCACAGACGGTGGGCCTTAGTGTCGGTGGCGTGCCCTGGTGGAAGGAAAAAGAACCACATGCCATTCTTTGACACGAGTGCCCTCCGGCGGGGGTGCAGCGTCGCCACCTGAAGTACAATTCTAATAATAGGGGCGAAGCTCCTTAGGGTCTAGGCTTGTCCGTCCGGCGTCCGCGCTCGCATCGATCTTGCTCGTGCTCATGAGCTCACGTGCTCGCGTGCTCGTGAGCTCACGTGCTCACGTACTCGCGTGCTTGTGTAAAGCAAAAAATAATAATGAAAAAAAAAAAAAAAAATGTTTGCGCAGTCGACAGGATTCAAACCTGTGCGGGGGGAGACCCCAATGGATTTCTAGTCCATCGCCTTAACCACTCGGTCACGACTGTGGGACAAGTAGGGGGCTCCGAGATGTGGTAGTAACTCAAGAGCTGGGAAGAGCTGGGGATGTCATAGATGAAACGTTGCACGTAGCCGCTCAACGTCTATACAGGACGGGGCGCTGCGGTTAAATGCGTATATAATCGCGTTAAACTTTGCATGCATTGGCTCAACGTTTATAGACTAGAGGGCGCTGCGGTAAAATGCTCAAATGCATATATAACCACATTCCATACCACACATTCTCTTTCTGACATGAATAAAAACGAACGAAAGGCTCGGCAAGCTACGGTTCAGCGTCTATGCAGACAAGCACCACCAGAGCTTCGCCCCAATCAACATCATTCACCACGTGAAGATGCGGTCAATTTTGTGATCTTGGTCACTCATTGTATCCGTATGCACAGTAGTACTGTTTAAGATGTGTAATGATTGTTCTGCTTTCTTTAATGCTGTATAGAGCACTCCATTTTTAGTTTCCATATTGTGTATTATTGTTGGGAGATAGTGGAATGTTGAAGTTGTTTAATGGGACAATTCTGCGGCCTTGTGGTTTGCGACATGAGCCATGTTCAAGCATACTGTGCCCTGACACCCGGATTCTGAATGCCCATGCTGATGATGTGATTTTTTTTCTGCGTTTGCAGTACTGGAGCAGTATGTGTGTGGTGCTGGGGCAATACCTCGAGGAAGAACCAAAGAAGGCTGGCTCGTGCGTACTGCGGCTTCGTCCCATCTTTTTGTTCTCGCTGCTTGATGTTGTGTTTGAGTGTGCAGATGCTAGTCTGGCTGCGACAGTAAGCTTGAGCTTTGTGGATTGATGCGCGGCCAATGATGTGTTGAATATGGACAGTACCGAGTTTTAAAATAGGGGCCTGAAAGGCTTAGGGGCCCCTAAGGTGCTCATCTCTGCCCATATGCCAAACGTAGGCTGCATTTTGGGTTTTAGCGTTCATTTGTGACGCGAAATTCGAGAAATAGCATGGGGGTCTCTAGCGTAAATTAACACCCACTTTGTGCAAGTGCCCACTAGTAAACTTTCCCAAGCTTGGGAATTCCGGGAATCCTCGGAAATGCCAGCATGAGCCGAAAATATTCATCCCGATGTGGCGGCCATGAAACCGCCATCGGCGATGATGGGGATATCCGCTTTCTTGCGATGGAAAGGGAAAAGTAGTTGTGACCAGAGCAAGGACCTCCTACTCTGCACCGACTTGGGAGAGTCGTAGGTGTCCAGTCATCATTCATTGTGCGTAAATAAATGTGTTTTCTTCGATTCTATTCACCCTGCCTTCAAAGGTCTATATGGACCGCCATCTCGGCTTTTACCGCTTGGCCCGGGTAGGTGCCCATGTCTAGACTAACCCAGTTTTTGGCGAAAGTGGATTTTACGGTAACTGCTTGGGTCAGGTCTTCAGGAGCAAATCCATCGTGGCTACCACACTTTTGGCCACGTTCGTCGGTAGTGATAAAAGGGCTGCAGGCTTTCGCTTTGCATTACCTCGCTTAAATTGCGACGCGCGAGCGGTGATCTTGCCCGATTTTCTCCGCCGTCTTCAGATTCTGGCATGCCTCAGCCCGAGAGGCTGCGGTAATCACTCGTACGGCAGCACCTCACGAATCCTAGTAGATTGTCTTTTCTTGGCTCGGTCGGCTGGGTGCTTGTGGCACGCATGAGCAGCCTGCTACAATGCAGATTGTCTTGGCTATGAACAGCTGACAGAAATCTTTTTTGAGAATGTTGCTCCTTGGCCGTAGTGGCGCCGGAAGCGCGATGAGCGGCAGAGCAGTATCTAATGAGGTGGAAGCAACGGGGCACAACATGGGTGCAAACCACTTGCCCCTTGGATTGTGTTAAACTAGGGGTCCCTATCTTAAAACTTGCTAATGTCTACACCCGCCCCTCGTGCTGCTTTGGAGTTGTTTCGCATGGTGTGGGCTAGAGCCACCAGATGTGTCCAGAGTACCGTATAGGTTTGAACCAGAGAATTCGGTCAGTCGAGGTTTTATTTCTTTATTTGGAAATGTTGTGTGTAGACAGGGGTTTAGAAAATGACTGAAAATTCAGGGTTTTTAAAAATTGGCAAGTTTCAATAACAATCCAGAGTCACAAAATATGATGACTCAATTCAATTTCGAGCTTTTCAATAAACACCAAATTTTGAGTGTCGGAGAGCTTGATTTATTATTAGTGCCCCTTCACACATATAGCACAGCACTGCACCAGTGCTAAGGTAGGTTCTAGTCAGGGCTGTTTTGAAGGTGATGTTCTAAGTGTCTTTTTTTTTTCGTGTGAAATGTAATTGCTTTACTAAAGTTTTTGCAATATTCTCAAGAAAAGATATGAGTAAACTTGATATTGTTATTTTCTGCGGTGACTGAACTGGATCTTGATATTGTCTTTCTAAAGTCAATCAATAAAAAGTACATATTACTCGGAGTAATTAGGATCCTACGTTTCCATTTGCTGGTTGTGATTTTTTTTTTGTAGTAAATAAAGCTTGTTTATAAACATATCTTTAGCTTTAGAGTATATGGTGGAACCTTGAAAACCCCCTTATATAGCTAAAGATCTTTTGTAACAAGAATTTGTACGTAATGACCAGTAAAAAAATGTAATCGGTTAGGATGTTATATGCTTTGATGCATCTTTGATTCAAGGGGACATACCTAAAATCTGATGTCTGAATCAAAATCAGTATACCGTATTTACTCGCAGAATGAACACATTTTTTGCTGAAGAATTGATGCATATTTCGGAGTGCGTTCTTACGCGGGGTAAAATTTTTGCATTTACATGGTTTGCGCGGATGTCATTTTAGGTGCCAATATGACATGGGGATACTGTGGCACGTCTCCATTGACATAGGCTGGTCATTAGGGTGCCACAGTAATCGTGCTTTATAAATTGCAAACCTTTTTTAGGGTGCGGCGCTTTCAGCGTGCCTTTTGCTGAAGAAAAAGCGCCCTACGAATCTCCTTCGGCGCGGAGAGCGAAGCGACCATTCTTAGGCCTAACCACTTTCACGATATCGCTGTCCAAAAGCGAATCAGAAACAACAGTGTGTTTGTTGACATCTATGCATCCAATGGACGAAGCACATCCGGGGCTGGGCAATTCCTTGACCCCAGCTTCGCTAGGTGTGCAGACCACTCGGTTTCACGGTTGATCACTTCCGCAACCACTCAATTGCAGCCGTTAGAAGAGCAGCTTGGCTTGGCTTGACTTGACCTCACCGCTTGGCGGCAAAAGAAAATTGGCTTGGTGGGCTTGGTGGGCTTGGTGGCTATATAGACGCAGTTCAAGACTCGCGGAGCTGAAAATTAAAGGTGTTCATTACGCGCGAAAAAAAAAAAAAAAAAGTTTGAATATTGATGCTTGTTGTGGGGGGTGCATTCATTATGCGAGTAAATACATGTACACACTAAGATTGAGAAATTCTGCAAATAAATGAGGAAAAGGCTAAAAAACTGTCGCCCCTCAGAGACAGTAAAAATGGTAAAAAAACAATTTTGAAAATGCCTGGACAGGAATGACACATATGTCACAAAATTAGCTTTCCATCCCCCAAAAACGTTGAGCGCATCAATTCACGTTGAGGGATTAATTTGAGTGATTCCGAAACATGCCTTATTTTGGGGTCGGCGTGTTTAAATAGAAGCAAGTTTTGGACTTGCTGCAAACTCAGAATTAGTCAATCAATCAATCAATCAATCGTTTTATTTATGGCCTTTAAGCCAACGGAGACCCTAGACAAAACGCTGCCAGTGGCAGCTTGACGAGGTCTGGGGCCCGTCTCAAATTTGTCAGCAGGACGTCCATTCGGAACACAAAAGGATATTACATGCTAACGAAAGATACGCTGAGTAATCACTTCATGCATACAACTTCTAACAGCATTATGCAAAAAGAAAAAAAATATATTTGCAGAACTTGTGACAGATTGAAAAGATATACAGCTACATATGGAAGAAAATTGCACAAAACAACACAAGGCGCACATACGCATAACTTCTAACCGCACTGTACAAAATGCAAAATTTATACAAAGGTATGGGTATGCTCAAGAAATTTCACGGAACAATTTACAAGAAATGCATAAGTAATGATTTCCTTCCCATTTGATATATATGAGTATTATTATTAAGAAGATGATTAAGTTATAAAGGTAGACAATATGTAATTGACTGGTAAGTATAGTTAGTACGAGCTCGTGGGGGGTACTATCCATTTTTCGGAAAGACGGGTGTTGAAACTACGAGGATGTTCGGAGAGCTCCGACATCTTGCATAAAAGCGAAGCATGCTCAGGAGATGAAAAACGAAAGCTGTGCAGTAATCTATAGTCATACATCTTATCAAGATTAATTATTTTATATTTGGCAAACAGGTTTGGTGTGAGTGAGATAGTGCTCATTGGGAATATAACGAAGCATCTTTTTTTGAAGTAAAGTAAGTTTTTCTATGTTTGTTTGTGTAGTTGTCTCCCAAAACAAGATGGCAATAATTAATGTAAGACTGAAATAGTGAATAGTAGATTTGTAATTTCACGTTAACTGGGAAAATATTCCGGCAGTGTGACATAACTCCAACCACCCTAGACAGCTTCTTAAAGGCCGACCTACAAAACCATTTTCCGCGGGAGAAGAGGTTTCGTCCTTGCTACCCAGAAAGGAGGAAACCCCTTCTCCTTTCCACGGAGACTAGCTTCCGGACCCGACGTTTTCAGGGGAGGAGGAGGAAGGAGTGCGAGAGGGGAGGGAGCGAAGGTCGTTGGGGAGCACTTTCCTACCGGAAAATGGTTCCGTAAGTCGGCCTTTAACAAGATAATTGACATGATCATTCCACAAAAGGTGTTCAGAAAAAATTATTCCGAGCGTTTTATATTGTTTCACTAACTCGATTGGTACGCTGCCTATTGTAATATTATGATTAATTGGCAGAGCCCTGCTCTTTGGTCGTAAAACTATAGCTTTCATTTTCTGGATGTTAATTTTAAGGCCATTGTTGTTGGACCATATAAGGAACTGGCTAAGAACATCATTTGCGTCTACGATTAATTTTGCAACACTCGTTTTGGCGAGAAATAGGCTGGTATCATCAGCGTATATTATGTATTTTATTTGTTTGTTTATATTTACAATATCATTAATATACACATTAAATAACATTGGCCCAAGTATACTACCCTGGGGAACCCCACATCGTATGTTAAGAAAAGGCGATGTATGACCATCGATCACAACACATTGCTTACGGTGGTCCAAATAGGAATGTAAAAGGGACAGAGTTACACCACGTATTCCATAACAGTATAGTTTATCAAGTAGTATTTTATGGTTTATGAAATCAAATGCCTTACTAAAATCTATAAATATACCATGGGTAAACAACCGATTTTCTATATTTTTCAAAATAATTTCTTTTTGTTGAAGCAATGCAGACTCTGTTGACTTTCCTTTGCGAAAACCATATTGAAAATCCGAAATCACAGAATGTTTAGCAAAGAAAGAATCGAGGCGTTTTAAAATAATTGTTTGAAGCTCTTTGGAAAATATAGGAAGTATAGAGATAGGCCTATAGTTTGTCGGTAGATTTTTATCTCCTCCTATAAATATGACTGATACTTTAGCTAATTTCATTCTACTAGGAAACATCCCCTGTGACAAGGCAAGGTTAAAAATATGCACCAGGCAAGAGTCTCATGAGGTAAAGCTAAAAAAAGTTTTCTTTCTTGTTTTAGGGGAAAGTTTATTTTGTTCTATGTCCCATCCTGGCGTTAAGAAGAAATTGCGCGGATGATCGTGCAATGGGATGTGAATATAGACCCCATCAGCTGGTGTGACATTTCAATAATATTGCATCACGATTGACTGGAACTTTGTGATGTTGCGTTGCTCAATACAAAAATGTAACAGTTTGTCGGGTTTTTTTGTCGCACGGTTATTGTTACGTGTGTGCTAGGTGCCTATGCACAAACTCTGGGTAGGCAAATAGTACCCACTTTGAAGGCAGTCGGGTCCATGGTGACGACCGAAGAACCTTGTGTCGAGCCACAGGCAAAGACACCGGGTCTCGCAGAAACCTCAACCGATCATTTACGGAACATCTCGTGGATGCACAAATTGTTTTCTCTCTGCAACATTCTCTTCTACGTGCCGCTTCACCTTCACGCGCAGCGTCTGGTGCGTTCCATCCTTACGCCCCGGGTGAGACTGTCAATGCCCACAACCGCTAACGAGCATGTTTATGCCGTCGAGTGAGTGGGCGGCATTCTTAAGCGCAAAGGCTTAGAAAGAGCGGGTGGCAAAAAGCACCATCTCATGACCCCGGCGCAAAGGCAATTGGCCGATCTCGGGCGGTAAAGCCACCCGCAATAAATGCGTGCATGCTCCTTTCGTTTTCGGCAACACAACGCTTTTGGGATATGGTCGACGCCGTAAAAGATGTCTCTTTGGGAGTCGAGCGTTTCTTTAAACAAACCGACGTCTGCTCCTGCATTCTTCTCTCCGACCACTCGGGCCTCGCGTCTCGACGTACGACGGCCTTCTTCCCGGGCGCAGGTCGGGGCAGCCAGGCTCGGCCGAACCTCCCGGCCCAGCTGACTTCCAGACGCAACTGTCGAGTCACTCGACCGAGCTGGATGCCCAGATCCGGGAGCAGGGCAGCTCCTTACAGTCTCTTGCTGGCCAGCTTTCCTCGCACACACGGAACATTGTGAGTCGTCCCTTCGTCCGATATCCGCCACCCTTCTAGTTGCCGTCGAGGGGAGACTGGCAGGGAGAAGTTTCACTCGTCCCACCTCCGGCGCGATGTTCCCGCCCTCGATGACGCTTCGCCGTCCCGTGCTCCTTGGACAGAGCACGGCGGAGAGCGTGCTGGGGGCAAGGCATCTGAAAGACGCACCCTGTCATTCTTGCCCTGTCGGCGACTAGCTCTGTTAGCACTTGCACGCATGTGCATGCGCCACGTGCTACTTGGACATTTCTATTCGATCTGGACATTGCTGCACCCGGGCGACTCTCGAGGCTCGTTTGCGCATTTGCGTTTGACTGGGGCACTGCATTGCAACTGCTGATTGTCTCTCACAATAAGAGAACAAATGAGAACAGCCGAATGAATAGATTAAGCCAGCATTTTTATCGCAAAAAAAAATTTTCTGAGATCTAACGCATTTAGGTGTAACGCCGGAGATCAAGTGTTCCGGCGTTTGCGTTTTATTCTGTTCCGATAGTGCATGTTCGCTCCTAGTACCTTCTTTTTTCACGTGTTTGTTTCAATATATGCGAAAGGCAATGTGCTGTGCTTTCAGAGAATCTACAAGGTGGTTCCTCATGCTGATTATTCTTGTCACCTTTAATTGGTATATTGAGTACAAATAAAATAAGATCCCCAATGTGCGATCGTAAATGCACCGTGCACTCCTTATTGCAAATGTTCCGCAACTTTTGTTTGGAAACCTGCGCCGTCGAACTAACCAACCTTTAAACCGTCGTGCTGTCTTGTGGCTGCCCACCTACTCAATGTGCACCAGTGCTATCGCTTATTCCGCTTGCGTCGTACAAATCTGGGTACCGACGCTGGAAATGTAAAAAGCCTGTTAAAAGGGCTACTGTAAAAGTGCTGTGCCTGATAATGGCATGCGTTGGGTGGTAAGCATAAACACCATTTAGGAATGTGGTGAGGAACGATGAAAAACGGGAATAAAACGTGTAAATAACTCGAGCTATCTAACGGTGCCTGCGTGCAAGGGCTTTACTTCCAAGGTGGCAGTGGAGGCGGGTGGAAGGTTTAAATATTGACAATTCTGCCTTCAGCATTGACATTTAATTTCTTTGCGCACAATTTTAGGCAGTAGTCGAGGGAACGTTATGTTGCAACACGAGTTTCAACGTAGGAGAACAAATCCATTTGCAGGCATATTGTGCAGTATGGTTAAATTTTGATAAGTCTAAAATAAGTGGACGAGCAGTGTCAAGTGACGGCAGTTGCTCCGTTGAGGGGGTCATTTTTGTCAGGACTGGATAAGCAATACGATAGGTGCGGTACTCATTTTTTTTAAACGCGTTGGCATTTATAACCCTGGTCTTTTGCAGCAGTCTTTTGTTTGGACTGAACGGGAGCGGACTGGTTTGTGAGGCCGCAGCAGGGTTTCCGTTGTGCCCTTTTGCTCCGTTCGCTTGTTACGTCCACTTTCCCTCTTACAAGAGGGAAAGAGTCTTCTGACACGCTTCCAACAATGTACTGCGTGAGGACGGAAGCTGCGGCGGCTGCATCCGACACCGCTGTCGCCCGGGAGAACAGAGTGGCTCTTCGGAGACAACAGTATGCAGACCGTTACGAGGTTCGAATTCCCACACTTTGCTCAGTCGGAACCCCCCGCTAAATGCCAACGCATTTTGTCGAGAGTCGGCCTAGCGACAGCGGCGACTTCGGCATCATTTTTTCGTGGTTAAGTGTTTGTAAGCATTTCTGTGGAACCTGTGCCTGGATGGAACATGACGTCACTTGGAGCGACGTAATGACAAAATAGGCGTCTAATTTGAGACTGGCTACCCTTCTTTGCCATGATTCATCATGGTCAGAGTCATTTTTTCAGTGTCATGTAGCCAAAGGCACTTCGTTTTTGCAATTTGATTGCAGGCCAACTTGGACCAATTGATTTGGCGGCTGATGGCCAAGAATACGCAGCTGGCAGAGGAGATAGCCAAAAATCAACAGGTGAGGTGGCACCCCACCCTGGCGCTCCCGTGATCTCCCGGATCAGTGCTGCGCAGAGCTCGCAGCATCTGTGGAATTTGTTCACTCTTGTCCCGACTGTCCAAACTCGGATAAAAGCGATAAAACATACCTGGTTGCATTTTACCTTTCCCATGCTCCTGGAGGTTACACTTTGGATTAGGAATATTTTTTTTCACACACTCATAGTCACTCATATTCACTCGCAGCCATATACACTCATATTCATACATGCAGCCTGGACTGCGACCAAGCTTGGTACGAACTAAAAAAATGATTAAACGAATGACAGAGTGTCTACCGTATTTACTCGCATAATACACGCACTCGCATAATACAGTGGACTCCTCTTAAACGGAACTCGAAGGGACAGAAAAATTTGTTCCGTTTATCAGAAGTTTCATTAAAGCAAAGCACATAAAATGAGTGAAATATGACTTTATTTCACAAGCATGATGTCCAGCTAATGTAGCTGACTAGAAAAAAGAGGTAATGGTAGTTTGTTTTGCATTTTGTAATCGCTTTTTGACGAAGTAGGTGTGCATGCCTTGGAGGTACAAAGGTTTCTGTTGACTGCTGCACCTTCCCCAGAAATAGTCTTAAAGACTAGGCCGTGGCGCTTTTTAAAACGGCTGAGCCAACCGTCGCTCATTTTGAAGTTATCTATTCCCAACTGAGACGCAATCTCTCCAGCCTTTTCTTCGAGGATGGGGCCGCTGATCGGGAAATTAGCACTTCGCGCGCGCTTAAACCAGAGAAAAAGGACGTTCTCTATTTCCTCAAAAGGCGTCTTTCGCATCCTCCTTCGGTCGGTGGCAAAGCTTCCGCGCTTTACAGCGTCTTGAATCTTTTCTTTGTCCTTTGATATCCTTGAGAGTGTAGACTTCGGGATATCGAACTTCCTTGCGATCTCCGTCTTCGAGAGGTCACCACGATCCAGCTCTTGAAGGATCTTCATTTTCGTAGCAAGCGAGATCGCTTGGTGCGGCCGCTTTTTTACCGCTTCCATCACAACACGGCAAGCGGACGCTGGTTTGTGTACTCGATGGTAAACGTGACGCGCAACAGACGAGGCGCTAACCCTAATGGCGGTAGAAAGACTGGATTGGATTGCCTTAATATAATGGCTTGGATGGATGGATGAATGGCTGTACCGTACCCCACCGTACCCTTTGTAACGAGCGGCACCTCGCGTCACCTAGCCTAACAACTTTTTTTTTTTTATAATAATATTTGTATAAATTTTGTTCTAACACAACCCCTTTTCCTTTAAAGTGTCCTCAGTCTTGGCTATTGCGTACTCCATGGTTGTGAGACTGCTGTAGCTATTTCCGATGTCCGCGGTCGCCATGGGTAGTTTCGGTTTCGGTCCCGTTTAACCGAAGTAAGCAAAAAGGGGGGTTCCGATTACCCGAAGAATTTATCATTAAATATATAGGAAACCAACCGAAACAACCTTTAGAGTTCCGTTTATCCGAATTTTCCGTTTAAGCGAGTTTCGTTTAATGGGAGTCCACTGTAAACGCACCCCCCGCAACGGGCATCAATATTTTGAATTTTTGTAGCGTGAGCTACACTGGTTGAGGTTGAGCAGTTTCGCGTGGCCCTCATAATGAGTCTACATTTCCAGCCTCCCTGTGTATTCCTATGGGAAAACACGCGTGAGTTATGTCTCTTCGCCGGAAATTAACATTAATAACTTTTGTCATTTCAATTGTACCGGATAGTATGCACCTTTATTGGTATTGTGAAAGTGCAATTGCTTTAGTTACATCATTTTTCTCTACCACTGAACGATGTTAAACTTCGCTCTATTTCAGGTCCTAACCTCTGTTTCAAGGAAGGTATGTGAAAACGAGCGACGATTCTAAGCAAACTAACGATCGAAAGGAATGTAGAGTGTGTTCAAGGTTTGCTAGCATTTCGGTGGTGCTTATATATTGCTAATATGCCCGTCCTGTCATTGGATGAAAATGACTCCGTCGTGCACCTTTACGATCAGTTAAAGAAACATTCGAACGCAAAAAATAAAGCATGTGAGCTACGAAAGGTGTCTTTTTATTATTTTTTATGTCGGGCAGTTTTTATCGGGCACCTGCTCTCTGGCTCCCCCTATTTGCAACGATTTGGAGCATGCAGGTGATGATTTGAACCCAGAACAAGCATCTTCGCACATATTCACGAGCAGAAAGAATAAAGAAGTACTTATTTATTGCAAATCTGACTATATTACGTGGCTTTCAATTTATTTTAATTGTCTGCGTGCACAAGGAGTTACTTATCCAGTGTTACTGCGTAGTTCTTGCCATCTCTCTCGGTTTTCCACATGTCCTTCGATCGTTTGGCACGTATATCCCCCATGATGGAAAGCGTCTAGCGGTTATTGCAATAACTCTATGGCTTAGAGGGCTTCTCAGCTCCTCTTTCTTACCTCCTTGTGCACGGCGCACGACCCCCCGTAACCAAACTGCGCTGTGCAAAGAAAAAAGAAAAAAAAAAAGCTCTTTGTTTTTGTTTTCTCTTAATTCCGTGTTTTCTTTTTTTTTGCCGCCTTTTGCAAGCTGTTTTGTTCGCTTAGAGCGCTTCTCCGCTTCTCTTTCTTACCTCCTTGTGCGCGCACCCAAAGTCCAGACTGCGCTGTGCAAAAAGAAAAAAAAAAGCTCTTCATGTTTGTTTTTTTTGCTTCCGTTGGATCTTGGCGAATTTTTTAACGCCTTTTGCAAGGCGTTTTGTTCGCCCACGCTGCCCATTCATTCGCGACCTCGCCGCACGAGGATAGAAAAGTGCGTTCATTTCGCGCACGTGGGGGGTGGGGGCCAAAATTTTGACGTCCGAGTTGGGGGTGCGTTTATTACGCAAGTGAAAAAAAAAAAAGTCGAAATTTTGAGAGCCGACTTGGGGGGTGCGTTCATTACGCGAGTGCGTTCATTGTGCGAGTAAATACGGTATTTAATCCGCAACAGAACGGCACAGCGAGGTGCAGAGGTGCGCGCTGTGCTGTAGGCTGAGAGTGTCTGGTATCCTCTCCGTGAACGAAACTTGATTCGTGCGAGCGGGCTTTGCGAGTCCGCTGCGGTTGGACTTCGTACAAGTTCTTGTCTTTGTGAACGAAACTTGATCCATGCGAGCGGGCTTCGGCGGTGGGGGGTAGGACTTCGTATGAGTTTTTATACACGTTAGTCGCGGATATACCTGAGCATGCCCGCCAGATACTAGCAATATATATCGCCTAAAAACGGTCGTGTTGCGTTTCGTGCTGAGTGATCTTCCTAGGGTGCTTTTCCTTCGGCAAAAGGCAACCCGAAAACGCCCTAAAAAGGTTTGCAATATATAAAGCATGGTTATTGTGGCGCGCCCCCGAACAACCATGGGTGCGTCTCCATCACTGGAGGCGTGCCACAGTACCTTACCGTGTCATATTGGCACCTAATATGACATTTGCAGTAAGTGTGTAAATGCAAAAATTTTACCCCGTGTAATGTGTAAATTTTTCCGGAAAGAAAGTGTGTTCATTATGCGAGTACTACCGATACCTCGTCCAACCTAGCACATCCGTGCGATGTCTGACGTGACTTGATCCAGCTGCCACGCTTTTGGTGAAAATAGAATATGCTGGGGGTTCCGAACTGGGCTAGATTATAGATGATGCTGGTCGGGCCTTCAATAGGTTAAGGGCAGTTTACAATATTTACTCGTGACGGCTGCTCTGTTTTTGTTTCTGTTAAAAAAATGGCTATGATGCAAATGCTGCTGTGCCAGTGGCATAGGCAGACGAGCGGGGGGGGGGGGGGGGGGGGGTTCAAAATCAAAAGCTGCCCCCGATAAAAAAAAAAAAAAAAAAAAAAAATTGGGTGTCTTGTTTTTTTAATAGAAAGAATGAAAGCAAGGAGGACGTTCAGACAACCACACTCTTTCAGTTAGCAAGAACAAACTGTTTTTCATTGTTAACTGAGAGTGTGGTTGACCTTGTTTTTATTCTTTCCATTTCAAGTACTTATAATTGCAACCCGCTCGCTTTAACCACTCCTTCGGCGTTGTGTGATCCAGATTTTGTTTGCGAGTCAAAAGATCCCCAGGTCATCCAAATGAATCCTCTCCGGGGCGTGCCAGCTGCCCTTTGTTCGTTTGGCACATAAAACCCCCAAGTTTTACTTTCTGACATTGTCGATCGCTAGCATCGCAATATTAAGATCCCAATATGTGCTTCACCTAACTTTGGTCCTATCGTTATTAGCACATCGAAGAAAAGAGGAGCACGGAACTGCGTCGTCTGAAGCACCAAGTTGAATATGCCGGCGATGCCGTCAAAAGGCAGACAAAGCAGGTCCGATCTGCACTTGTTGCCTATGAGCCAAGCCAAGCCCCAGAGAGAGCCATAGAGAACGGGGACTCGGACGTTTACGTGGACCTCGCCTTCCTGCAACGGGAAGGTGCTCTGCAGAACAGTTACTGCGAGCTCCAGCTGACGTCATTAACTGACGCAACAAACGCCCTCCGAAGTAAGTAGAATTGCATTGCTTAGTTTCGATCCATGTTACTTTTGAAAAGTAACTTTCGTACCTGAGCTCAAGGAAAGTAAAGTTAGATGTTGGATTGCATGCTTTCACACAATTCTATAGCTGGAATTGTTTGCAGAAAGTATATTGCAATTGTACGCAAATTGTATGACCTCTAGGTTGTGGGGGCTGCGAGTGTAAGACCGCCGCTGTTCCAGGTAGATGCAGTGTCCAAGATGCGTTTACTTGTCGCTCGGACCTGCAGGTTTGATGACAGCGATTACTTGTCGCTTGGACCTGCTGTATTGAAGTCCTCGTTTCATCTTGTTTGTTTTTCCATGTCTCATGGTTTAGATTATGGTGGCCCATTTCTAACTCTTTTCATTCAAATTCCGCCCATTGAAAAGCATGGCAAGAGAGACAGAACACGCACCTTACCTTGCCGCTTCAACCTCTCCTTTTGCACGATAAAATCCACTTGCCGTGCTCCCTGCTACCATGGCAACAAAGCATCATCCGAATGGACAGAACCACGAATACGGAGTCTGAAGCCAGCAAACAGCAGACACCATTTTCCGAATATCGTCTGCTGAAGTAAACGCAGCACCGCCAGCCGAAGCCGAATGCTCCTGTGCGGGGATTGACGCCGAGAGTGGGAAGCGGTGGCCTGGCAAATTTCTGGTGGTTCCGACGAGCCTTGGTGCAAGCTCGGGCTCGAGATTACGTTCGAATCTCGTTAATTCCAACTCTCTTAATTCAAACTAACATGCAGGTCCCATTTTATGTGTCTCTATGGGAGGAAACGCCCGAAAATTCAAACTTTGCTTCATTCAAACAAATTTTGAATCACCCTTGAGTTTGAATTAACGAGATTCGACTATAATTAATTTTCCTCGAGCAGAGCGGAGCGAGGTGGGAGGAAGTGTTTGATATTCAATTAGAAAATATTCGGCCAAAACTACTGAATAGCTTCTGATTCGCTTTGAACTCAAATCCACTCTTTGCACGTGCCGAATACCTTAAATTGGGTGGAGTGGGAACGAAAAGAGCATGAAATAAGGACCTAATACAAATGGCAGACTTCCTTCGGCAGTCTTGCACAAGAAGCATGTTTCATTGGCTATCCGGCAGCTGGAACATGGGGATAAAGCATCAACCTGCCCGAATTCCACTTCATGACTTCTGTGTGGCTTGCGCTTGATACAAGCAGAATAAATTCAGTTGTATCAAATTGAATATTCTTAGGATGAATGCTTGGGCGAGTAGGGTATTTGTATAGGTGTGCGTGTATTTTCAGTGTGAGTTTAATTTTGCGCTATTTCCTACATGAATTGAATGTTTTACTCAGACAGTGTCTAAGAGGACTTGGTAAAAGGTGACTAGAATCGATTGACAACAAACGAGAGCATAGTATAATACAAAGGACCGAGATTTCGGCCGCAGTTTGGAAGATCCATAGGTGGTCGAAATTATTTCCCGGTACTTCGCCTGGGGAATGCCAGATGCCCTTGTTGGTTTGGCACATAAAAGACCCAAATTTTACTTTTGTCTTTATACTCCGTGATCTTTAGGCCGCTGCAGAAGGGGGCTTCAAGACGACGCGGGCCAAGCACAGCACCCAGTGGGCAGGCACGTTAGGGACCCCCTCATTTCTAAGGCTATCTCGCATCCTGCCTTTTCAGAGAAGTCCGGGGCCGTCGGCAAGGCAGCCAAGCTGATGTTGAATCAGGGCGAGAGCTTCGAGGCTGCAGATGTTCTCACCTCCTGCAGCCTGTCTCAGAGAGCCTTGAAAAAGCTGTAAGTGCACCGTGGGCTGTATTGCCTTCAGCCATGCCGTGGCCATGTATGCACGCTCAAACCTGAATCAACGAGGGTCGGAAGCTCGCACCGATAGCCAAAGGAATCCTCTTCCGCCCCTATCCTGCCAGTGACTGGTTACATGGGGGCACATGAGGAAGCAAGGTGCTCAATGCCGAATGTAGTGGATAAGAATTGCCTAGTCAGTCCCGCTCTAGCTCACTAACGAACATTCTAGGTCGAATGCTCAAGATGCCGAATGTGGTGGATGACGATTGCCTAGTCAATCTCGCCCTAGCTCACTAACAAACATAGGTTGAATGCTCGAGATGCCAAATGTAGTGGATGAGGATCGCCTAGTCAGTCTCGCCCTAGCTCACTAACAAATATTCTAGGTTGAATGCTTGAGATACCGAATGTGGTGGATAAGGATTGCTTAGTCAGTCTTGCCCTAGCTCACTAATAAACATTCTAGGTCGAACGCTCGAGATGCTGAATGTGGTGGATGAGGATTGCCTAGTCAGACTCGCCCTAGCTCACTAACAAACATTCTAGGTCGAATGCTCAAGATGCCGAATGTGGTGGATGAGGATTGCCTAGTCGATCTCGTCTTAGCTCACTAACAAACATAGGTTGAATTCTTGAGATGCCCAATGCATTGGATGAGGATTACCTAGTCAGTCTCGCCCTAGCTCACTAACAAATATTCTAGGTTGAATGCTTTAGATACCGAATATGGTGGATGAGGATTGCCTAGTCAGTCTTGCCGTAGCTCACTAACAAACATTTTAGGTTGAACGCTTGAGATGCCGAATGTGGTGGATGAGGATTGCCTAGTCAGTCTTGCCCTAGCTCACTAACAAACATAGGTCGAATGCTCGAGATGCCGAATGTAGTGGATGAGAATTGCCTAGTCAGTCTCGCCCTAGCTGACTAACAAACATTCTAGGTCGAACGCTCGAGATGCCGAATGTGGTGGATGAGGATTGCCTAGTCATTCTTGCCCTAGCTCACTAACAAACATTCTAGGTTGAATGTTTGAGATGCCAAATGTAGTAGATAACGAGCAGAGCCCGGCTTTGTCGACTCGCAGTCACGCCAACGCCTCTTCGCTCGCGGCTGTCGCCGTCGACACTCATCCTTTTTTTTTTTTTTCTAGGTGCAAGTTTGCCGATGAAATCTTTATTCTCTGTTGTACACTCGTCAATCTGTTTCTAGCTGCAACCATATAAATCTGTTACGGACAGTTTGTTTGATCACGGACGTGCACTGAAGCAACTCTGCTGTCAGAAATCCTTGGAACCTGTTCTGGCCTGCACTTTAACCTTGATACACTTCACATCGTCGTCGTCGTACATTATTTTGCGTTGCAGTGTTTTCACCTCAAATATTAGTGATGGGACAAACCACCAAAGATTCGGATTCGCCCAGATTCGGAAATTTCCAAACTTCCCGCGATGAATATTCGTCAGATTCAGTGATTCGTCAGATTCGTCGTTGGTTGCAGATGGCAGCGTGAACCTTGTCGTAAACCTCAGGAATGCGGTCAGTTCTGTTTTTTCTAGGTATTGTTACTGCATATAACCAGATTTTGTCTTGTTTATATCAACTTGTGGTATGTACTGTACTGTCATTCTAAGCCCTGGCACGCGCCCAGGTCCAGCTGAGCTGATCGGTGTGGTTGACGTAAGCCTACCATAAGCAGTGCATGGTCTCAGTTTCTGTGCGGTTTCGCGGTGATCGGTAAAATAGAGCGAAATGCTATGTATTATACATAATGTGGCGCAATGCACAATAACTATATTGAGGCAAGGAAATGATTTGTTTCCTTCTCTAGAGCTGCTTATGTCTGTACCTGTAAGACGCGAGAGCGAGATGAATGTTGCTCGCCACAACCTCGACCACGTACCGGCACCGGTGGTGAAGAAAAACGTCGCACTGTCGTTTCTCCGTTCTCGGCAGCAAGTTTTGTGTGTGTGAAGTTTATTTGATGAAAAAGAAACCCAACACAGGGGTGTCCAACGCAACCTTATTGTTCAGAAACAAACACTAACCCAATGGGATATCATTAACCAGAAAGGTGCAAATGCAGTACAGGAGACTGAAATAGTATGGTGCAAGGAGTTTCAGAATTGTTTCCCGTGTTTCGATAGCAATACTTCAGTGGACACGCGATGAAGATAATCAAATCGAACGTACTCACTTGTGTTGTGTGTGCCACTATGGCCGTAATTATGAGCACGAAATGTATCTGTGCCGAACAGCATGTACGGCATCGATCTCTTGCGGCGATGAAAACATGGGCTTGTATTTCCACGTGCACCAAGCATGCCGATTTTTGTTGTAATCCAGAACCGAAACCGATTTTTCCGCGATGTCTGCCTACCGATTGCGACAAACATCCAAAATAATATAAACAAAGCGGAACATTTTATTTATTTCTATGATATTATATTACCATATTAGTTGTGCAGTTTGTAGACTTTAGTGAATTTAATATCACGAAAAGTTCAAACACTCATCAACGTGATCTGGCAACCATGGCAACGCTCCGAATCTTTCCGAACTTTTTCGAATCTCTTGAGATACGGCCACTCTTCCAAATCTTCGGATTCGGCTCTGAATCTTGATTCGGATAAAGATTCGTCCTTCACTATCAAATATTGCAGAAGCAAGCTCCACAGAATTGCGTGCTGCACGGTTGATCAACACGGTGGCGCGGCTCTTCGGCTCACCGAGCTTGACCTTAAAAAGATGGTTGACCGCATGTATGCGCACGCTGTTGACAGACGTTCGAGCAATTTCACATATCTCCTATTGGTGCTTTGCTACTGTACACGAGCCTAATGCTATTGCGGCATTCAGCTACGTCAGTCGAGCACTGTGTAGAAACAAAAACAAATAATTTTTTTTGTTCTTTAATTTTTTTTTAAATTTCACTTTTTCTAATTTTATTTATTTTGTATTCAATTTTTTAATGCAGTAGCATTTAGGAGCTCGTGTCGCACAAGAATACTGCATCGGTGGGACCAAAAACCCATAATGCAACGCGTGCAGTCACATGTGAGGTCACACATGGCTGTGACGTCCTTACCCTATTGACGCGCTATATTTGGCGAAAGTTTTCTGCTAAATTTGTCGAAAATATTTTTTGCCAAATTTAGTGAAAAAATTTCAACAAATATAGCGGAAAATTCTCCTGCAACATTTTGCGTAAAGTTTCCCGCCAAATTTAGCGGATCGATAGGGTCATGACGTCACAGCTGCATGTGACATCACGTGACTTGTGGCACTACCAACTAGACCACGCGCACGGCTTGGGGACGAGCATGGGTTTAAATGAGAAGGCTTTGCGAACGGGGTCCTATGAAGCTATCTCATTCCTTAAAGGAGAAGCTGGAGTGCCCCCCAAGTTTTTTCTTAAATTTATAATTTCTTCATTTTAGGGCTTCTCAGAAGGAGATATGGAGGCTGGCAGAAGAGGAAGTGCAAGGGAAAACATTTTACGAATGGATAGACAAGGCCAACTTGGACATTTGACTTCCTGACGTTGCTGGCTCTACAGTATCAACTGCCAGAGAGATTGTGCCTTAAAGGGCCATTAAACCACTTTCTGCGATAGTCTTTTTATGGTCATAGCGCAACCTATGGGTTCTAAGCATAGATTGCGCTATGACCATAGAAAGACTAAGCAAACTTTTTTTAGGATGCTTAGAACCCATAGATAGTCTAGCAGAAAGTGGTTTAGCACCCCTTTAAGTGAGGATGTCCTTCTTGCAAGAGTTTGACAACACCGAATTTGGAGGAAGGGCTTGTTCTTTTGTCAATATTGCCTCCTTTTGTTTTATTCTCACATTACTTGTGAGATCATATTTTTTTGTATAATTCTGTTTTTTTGTGTGTGTATGCATGTTCTGATTTGTTCTGTTGTGCAGTTGCATGCCAGATTTACATTAATAAAATTAAAATTTGACACTTTTTTGTGTATTTTTAGTTGCGGTCATGTAACAGCCATGATAGTTTCTAAACGGAATGATCATGCTTTCAAAATTGGAGAGTACCACGCCAGGACAAGCATGTACGCCAACTCTTTTTTTTTTTTTTGTTAAAACAATACGAGAGTGGAATGGGCTGTCGGAGCTGCAAGTGTGCAGTGAAAATGAAGATGCGTTTTTTTTTTCCAGCATTGTAGCCCCCCTGCTGTAACGCCCTCGGGCACTGCGGGGTAATCTCTGAATAAAGAAGAAAGAATTGAAAATTTATGGTTCCACGGGTACAGTTTAATGCCTGTTATGCTAAGCTCCAGCACACTTGCACCTATTCACCATTGAAGAGTCAAGCATTTGAGTAATGATTTTCATGTTACCTGCAGTTGAGGCAAACATTTGTGGAAATGATCTGATTGAGAGAATAAAAATCCACTGGAAGCACTTTGGGATAGTGCAGTATTTCCCAAGTCATAAGCTTTAAAGGGGTACTCCACAGATTTTTTGAGCTACCTTAACTAACTATATTTTCTGACTCCCCGGCCTTCACTCTCTCCGGTATGCTATTTAGAATCGCGAAATTCATAATAGGTATTGTGAAATCGGCAAATGAAAATGATGCAAAAACCAACATTCAAATATTCGCGCACTTTTCAGTGCCGTGACGTCAGTGGCAGGCAGGCTTGCCAGTCGAGCAAGCAGCCAAAAAATAGAATATGCCAATTTTTTGTTCCGTGCTGGACCGCGGGTACTGCAGCGAGCTTCCCAAGCATTCATTTGACACTATGAAACTGCTTCGAATCAGTTTAAAACAAAATTTACAGCCCAAAGAGTGAACCCCTGCACTTCCAATGACGTCACTTTTTCATTGTTGCCAGTAGAGACTTCGAGCTTGAAAAACACGGTGAGGACCAAAACTGTAAATTCAATAACTTTGCAAAAAAACAATATTTTGACCTAATATTTGGGATACTATTTTTACGATGTTTGCTGGTTAGTTTAGCAAAATTTCAAGCAAATCGGAGACAATGAAAAAACCAGTGGAGTACCCCTTTAAATGCGAGACATTTTGTGAATGAAAACTGATGGAGATTATTACAAGTACAGTGCCATTGTTGTTTTTAGCTTGGTTAGAAAGAGGAAAACAGAAGGATGGACTTTTCGCAGTTAACATGGTCCACTCTTTTACTGCCGAAATATTTTTAATGAAACAGATTAGTTTCCAAATTTGTTCGTTCCTTTTGATTTTGATCAACGTCCACCTTCTTGTATATATCTTTGTTACCTCAACATGCAGCAGTGTTCCCAGTCTGGCTCAGCACTGTCCAAAAGCCTTTGCTTTTGGACAAGGCAGTTCTGCCAATTTATCTTTGCACCAAGTGGTCAACATAATTGATAGCCGGACCATAACTTGCTGCCTCCCACCCAGTTAGAGGTGCAAGAGAGATTGAAAAGGCCACGCTTGCAACCATACACCTGTTGCACTGCACTCTTTTGTTGGCTCTTTTCTTTAACTGCGACTTCCCACACAAATATGTGACAGATATCGCCAATTTTTTTCCTAAGGAAAGCTTGCATCGATCGTTCCATTTTGTGGGACAAAGAAAACGGTCTCCTCAGAATCTTTTTATGGTGAATCTTGTCTAGTCCCTCCCGAGTAACTTTCGACTTGCGAAGTCCAGCTTGACACGGGATGCATCCTCAAATTTCCTGTCACAGGTATGACTAACCTCAGTAAATATGGATGGACATTTTTGGGTAAAACTAGTAAACTAGACCAGGTTGCAAGCCCAGGGTAAAGATGGCCGACTTGCACGTTAAAATGGATTTACTTTAAATTCTGGATCATACCAGATGGAGCATAAATTGTCTGCTGTGCTGCTACTGTGCTACCTATCGAGAGCTGAGGAAACTAAAAAAAAAAATTATGAAGTAGCAAAGTTTAGAAACAAAAAGAAGACTGCCACAAATTTACTGGTACCAGATAACTTTCACGAAAGAATTGCACAAAGGACAGAACACGGACAGCAAATTCTCTGACTTTTAAACACTCGTGTATTTCAGTCGTTTCCCGGTGCTTCCCGCACATTGTGCCGCCACTACCAGGTGTCGCCTTTAACAAGCTTATTCCAAAACCTGAAGCATCTCATTGCGGCGTAATGCCACATTATGCATTGTGGGAATCTGGGCAGCAAAATTCATATGCGCCCTACTCCTGGCCCACCAGATCCCAGAATGCAACGAGGGTGGTGAAGCATTTATGGAAGCCTCTTTTTGGCCAAAAAAAAGCTGGTTTCAATTTCCTGCCTCCCTCTCCCCGCTTTAACCTTCCCAGCCGCAAATTTAGAGGCCCACTGCCTGTGGAAAATACATACATATGTGTTGAACAACGAAAATATTCCCTGGAGAAAGGGAACAAGACGGACAAAGGACACACAAATCTCCAAACTCCGAACGAATCCGTCTGGTCTGGGTATTGAACCCGGGACCTCTCCATTTCCAGTGGAGCGCTGTACAAACTGAGGTACTAGGGGTTAGACGTCGGTAGAGCTAACAGGTTTAGTCGGCTGCCACCAGTCTAACACCAACAAGGATGAAGCTTGCTTCACCCTCTTGTTCCCCTTCTCCAGGGATTATTTTATCGTCATTCTTGTCCAGCTCGTTTGCACCTTTGCATTTAATTGCTTTATAACCATAACCTTAGAACTGCAAGTTTCACCCTTGTTGGTTTTAAACTGGTGGCAGCTGATAAAACCTGTTTGCTCTACTGACGTCTCACTCCTGGTTAGCCCAGTTGATAGAGCACTTCACTGGAAATGGAGAGGTCCCTGGTTCAATATCAGGACCAGGTGGATTTTTGCAGTCGCGCACTAGTCACCTAGCTGTGTTGAAGATCTGTGTTTGTCCCTCTTGTTTCTGCAGGGATTATTTTCGTTATTGTCCAGCTCGTTTGCACCTTTGCATTTAATATTATAATCGTGTGTTGAAAGTCGGAAAATGTGCTTTCTGTGTTCTATTCTTTATGTGCAATTCTTTCATAAAAGGTATCCAATACCAACGTGCTCCCTAAAACACCACTACGAGATAAGGCTTAGGTTTATTGTAAATCCAATGAATAGACATGGATTAGTATTTGTGCCTGAAAGTAAATTATAATTGGGGTTCTAGATTTGTGGGCTTTATGTATAAAGTACTGGTATTTCTCAGTCACTTCAATATGTCTGGAGCTTTTATGACTTCATATTATCGAGAGTGAAATGAGAGCTTTGGTGTTTCCAAGTGCACATGCTCAATTGATCTGAACTTTCTTACTCTACATATCTTCAATATTACGAAAAGTCTTTTCATCAAGGAGACTAAAGTATTGTGCCTGGAGTACACACTTAGTTTGTTAATCGGTTTTTTTAACTGATTGACAGACTAAACATCGCGTAGTCGTAGCATTTCAGCATTCTCTAAAAACATAAACACAAAAGTTACTTCTTTGCCGTGTTAGTGTGGCAGAGGCAGTGGTAATGCAGAATGTGATGTGTTGTGGAGGCTGGATGGTGCAAAGCGGCCCTGTGTTGTGCAAGGTAAGCGTGTGAGCGCTCCATAGATGTCTTGCTTCTGGGTGCCATCTTCTGCGGTTGGCAACTTTTTCGGAGCCTGTTAGAGTGCGAGCATGTGGAAAATGGAACGATTGGAATGCGGCAGAGCCCTGGCATCAGCTCGCAGCGAAAGAGAACCAAGCACTCAAAACTAGCAAACTCCGTTGCGGCAAAGGAGTTTGCTTTTCTTTCTTTCCTCTTTTTTTCTGTTGCTTTCTTTCGTGCTGTCTTTTGCATTGTCGTACCCCATTGCACCTCTGAAAAGGGCGACCCCCTGTAGCTTCACGAGAGAATTTCGGTATGGCTAACAAGCGGCAACAAAAACACTGTTGTGTCCCAGGCTGCAAGACATGGGTATGTATCCTCGAGACCTGCAGGCAGAAAGGAGACGTTTATGTTCCAAAAAAAACTCGAGAAAAACTTCGAACATGAGCGCGAGCTATACTTGGCGCCGACAAATGCTTGGAAACGAGGTTGGCAGTGTGCGAGCTGCATTTCGAGGAAATATTGACTATACGGCACTTCACGATTGTGACTAACGCATTTTCTTCTCTAGTGTTCACAGCGCAATGGGTCGGCAGCTTCACACTAAATAAAGATTCAAAGCCGAGGTCAGTGGGTATCCATCCAGGGAACGATGGGCGCGTCAGTACCGTGCGCCCGCAGCGCGAACGTCGCCGCCGGTCGCGTGCCGACCGACCGTCCGACGAGAGCGAAGAACAAACTAAACTCGGAGACAAAGCCAGACACGCGCGCAGAGAACGCCGGCTTGAAGAACGCCCGCTCGCAGTGCCCGCGTAGCGGATGCGCCTGTCCTTAACACGTGACATGAGAGAGACCGCGGAAGTTCTCCGCCGACCCCCCCCCCCCCCCCCCCCCCCCTTCTCTAGTCACGCATGTGCGCGCCCGCTGGCTGGGAGCAGACCCTACTGGAACGAGGGGAGTGGATCGGATTCACTGATCACCGTGCAATTCCAGTGCGTTGCGTCTCACTGGATCCGACTGGTTACACCCAGAATCGCGCTGATCGGAACTGTTCACAAGTTT